TCTGGGCCCACCCGTATAATACAATATTTTATAATACCCTCGGCCCACCCGTCTAATTTGATATGTGTCTGGGCCCACCCGTGAATGTGATAACAAGTACCTACCCATCTATCTCATACACATCTACCTTAATACACCCATCTGCATAATATCCAGCTACCTCGGCCCACCCATCTACCTAATATTCATTTACATCGGCCCACTCATCTACTCTATATATTCCCTGCATGGGCCCACCCGCCTCCATCGGGAATAATTTGCCTCCCGGCCCATCCGTCATAGTCGAGAATATTTTTATCATGGGCCCATGGTCCGCTGGCCCGTATCATACGGGATATTATGCACGTCCGTTCCCTCGTATTATACGGAGATATGTCACTGTAGTATGTGCATGGTGACCTCTGAAGGAAGACAACAAATTGAAGGAGAGTGCCCGATCATGATAGCCCAGCCGCTCAAAAGGACATATGCCATTTACATGGAGAGCGACGAAGAATCTAGTGATGACGAACCACCACAAATCATCGAGGACTTCCTTGCCGGTGTTCACTCTCGCTACCCTGCCATGAACTTCTTACAATATGCCGGTAAACTGAAGGATCGTGGCATATTGTATTTGCCAACCGCAACTGGGTTTGATATTAGATTCTACCAGAGCAAGATCGGTATGCCAGAGGGCACTGCACTTACCTTTCAGAGGTGTGCCTCCAAAGCTCACATGAGGGTGGAACGCGCAAAGGAAAGGAGGAAGACTAAAGGGAAGAAGAAGGCACGAGCCCGGCCACATGCTAGTGATGACAACTCGGAGGATAAGTAAAATGCACCACCTAGTGCCATGGTGACTGTATAGTGACTACTGTATATTTTTGACTGAAACGGTGCCAAGTTGTTTTGTTTCCGTCCTCCTTTCAATGTTTACACCCTTGCGACCTCTTACTAGGCTCTCCCCAACCAAGTTACTTTGCATTTGAAGTTCTCGTTACCTATGATAGCTTCATCAAATGTATAATTACGTGACTAGTAGATGCTTCTATAACATCATTTTTCATGATATAACCTTACAAGAGAACATGTCTAGTGAGCATACATCGAGTGTAAAAATGTACTATCATGTACCGTCGAGGCATTAATACATATATTAGAACTCAAGTCTAGGTATACTTTAATGGCCCCCCGGCGTGCAGTCGATGATAGTCGACATGCAACGCCAAGTCCAAGTCCAATGAGCACAATATAATGATGATAGATAGAACCCGGCATGCAGTCGACGATAGTCGACATGCAACGCCAAGTCCGAGTCAAATGAAGCACAATATGATGATAGATAGAACCCGGCGTGCAGTCGACGATAGTCAACATGCAACGCCAAGTCCAAGTCCAATGAAGCACAATATAATGATGATAGATAGAACCCGGCGTGCAGTCGACAATAGTCGACATGCAACGCCAAGTCCAAGTCCAATGAGCACAATATAATGATGATAGATGAAACCCGACGTGCAGTCGACGATAGTCGACATGCAACGTCAAGTCCAGGTCCAATGATGATCGATGATCAAACGATCTAAAGCGAAGTTTCGAAATTAGCCGAGTGATAATTTTCAAGCTCCGCTTAAACAAACAAACCTGAACAAATACGGTACGTAGGAAGAGCAAAGAAAAGGTCTTATCCTGAAATGGCATGCTATTAGCTAAGCACAACAATCAACCAGTTCAAAGCCGATCAAGAAGTTTGCTCAAAACATGCCTAGATCTCATTACGCCAGCAAAACTAATTTAAATGTAGCCGAGCGAAAGTCTTGATGTGGGTCAAGCCATTCGATAAATATCGGGTCCTCGTTTGCCAAGGTGTGCCAATCCGTTCAACTAACCGTGTCTCTGTTAAGTCGAATCATGTCTTCTAGGCCATCTCCCATTTACGCCAGTCCCTAGGCTCCTACTTATGAGTCATATACCCCTTCCTCTTCTTCATCCTCTTCCATCTACGGCGGCACATCCTCATATCCACCACCATGCAAGGTATGGGTAGACCCCAAGAACTTGGCCGACTGTGGGGATGCATCTCAGATACAGGGCAATGTATCCCCCTACGTTAAGCAACTCATCCTCAACACGTTCATTGCATACGGCGCTGGTGACGAGCACTGTTTTGGTCATTCTGTTTCCAAGGCAGTGAAGTTCATCGACATCAGTGCCCACGAAAGCCACAAAAAACAAGGTCGTATGGAGGCAACGACTATTGCAGAAGTTATTGTTTCAAAAAGTTAGTTAACGTGCACGAGACATATTTAGGAAGTACTCACAAGTTGCCTAGGCATGTTGAATGGCGTGGGAATGCTCCATGGAGGATGTCTGGCGTTTTTGATTGACAAGTCAGTACGAAGTGATTTGACGCTTCTGGAGATGTTCTGACAGACTACCATAGCTGCTGTAGCACTCCCTTGGTCGCTCTGGGACTCCTACAAAACATGACTGGAGTGGGAGTCACTCAGTCGATGAACATCATCTTCCACCCCCCTGTATCAATGTACGTTGGTGTGACCTATTCCTATTGGTACCCGCTCACTCTTATCACTAGTGGGTCGTGTTTGCATATCATCAGCACTTCAATCGCTATGGGCGGCCGCATTATGAGCGCTCGATGCGAGGTTTGTTTTCTTGGTCAATTAATTGACGATTGATTCATGAGTTTCTCTAATACTTACCCCTAACTTGAAGCGCCACCCACTACACTGTCAGTCCAACATGGATTTCATGACCGATGCAAAGGCTAACCATAGTAATGAGAGCATTGCCTGGTACGTCCCCTTCTCTGTTCTATCCCCTTATCTCATCATTATGTGCAGCCTTTCGCACCGTCCGAGTCTGCAACCGGCTCGCCAGCTCCAACCTGGCGACCCAAAGCATGTAGAATACCAGGGAAAGATTAGCCAGATATTGGTAAGTCTGAACTCAGGCTTTTCTATGTGTACTGAACAAACCACCCTGCCACAGTTCGTTCGTGTAAAAACCCTCATAGTACCTGCGGCAACAATGTTCGACCCCATTTTCCTGTCAGTAGAAGTAGAGATAACCACCATCTGCCAGAACAAGCATTGGGTCGGCATACCCAACTGGCAGAATATCAGAGAAGATGACCCAAGGATTGGAAACCACCCACTGATCCACAAGACGTGTTATGTTCATCCGGATCAGCAGATGTTGCAGGCCCTCCCTGAGGGTGTCCTACTACTTGCTGACCCACCCACTGCTGCCGATGATGTTCCTTTAATCGCCGATAATACTTCTGTGGCTTCCAGCGCAGTTAGTGAGCGCCAGCTGCGTGTCTTTGGCCCTAAGTCTCAGTCTCATGTGGATGAGAATGACGAAGAGGAGGAAACACTACCGACAGACGAGTCTAAGGGCCTGTCCAATCACCGGGAGTCTAAGAAACGGGGGTCTGAGTCACAAACCTCGCTTGCAGGGGGTATGAGGGATGGGGCGCACAGACGAATCTGTGCAGACGCCAAGTCCAATACCGTTAACAAAACGGAAGAAGGCGTATCCAAGGGAGTGATATATGTACAACACCCTGGAGCGAAAGTAACTCGCTAACAATAGTCTAGTTATTTTACTAATCACAGGCTTCAGACCAAAACACCGACAGGTTTATCTTTGAAAGAAAATGGCAGTTCGCTAAGACGATATGTTTGACTTCTGGTAGCACACTAACTTATTGACATTTCTCAGGCCAACGCCTTGACAACACGATCGGGTACCGTCAGCGCCACTGATCCCTGTCCTCGTCATGCCAGGGAAGGCAAGATATGCATGAGAGCCAGGGGCAAAACTGGCCTCTTTGTTGGGCTTGCCATGTACAGCGTTGACCTCGTTCACACCGCTTCAGCAAAGTATTATCACCTAGATCGCATAAATGACGAGCGCGGAGACGGATGTAGTTCGCAAGACCATTACATGATTTTCGGTGCGAGCGTTGTAGAAACAACAATACTGAGAGGAACAAAGAAATGCTCCTGACTGTATCTAAAAAGTTGTAGGTCGTGCGTTGCCTAGTCTGCGATACTTGAGATGGCAAGTGCATTCGACCCTAAAGGGGAAGCAGGTGCAGCGGAGATCTAGAGGTACGCACTTCAGCGAAGCGCGAGAAAGCGCAGGTGCGCGCAAGGTACGAAGGCGCGGGAACGCGCGCGCGTATTAGCGCGAAGCGCGGGAAAGCGCGCGCGTGTAAGCAGAAATAAGAGAGACTAAACTTATGTGAAGATATAAGCAAGATAAAGGATGTGAGATGTGTTGTGCTAATGAATAGATTTCTACTGCGACTTTCTAAGTAGTAAGTACTAGGTAAAGTTGGGTGAAAAGTAAGGTAAATAATAGTATGTACTGCTGGCGCTTATATAGCGCGCCTAAGCGCGCTCATGCGGAGCCGAAGTGCTACCGAGTAGGTATGTAAAAATATATATGAGTGAGAAACTATGATAAAAATAAAGGTGGAACTATGCTAATAAAGGAAATGGAAATATACGCACTAGGGAGCTTGGTGGACAGTGGATGGATGCATCTGGATGGCTGGCGCTATAGGGCGCGCAAGCGCGGGAACGCGCGCGCGCGTATACATCGTGAAGCGCGGGAATGGTGCGCGCATGGCGCGCGTTGTGCGGGAAAGCTGCGCGTCATATAGGAATCACTGTGGATGGTACACAGAGTGATGCTGCGAGTTGGTGCTGTATACTCCCTAGTGTATAGCGCCATATCACACTATGAGATGCACGAGTCTCTACATCTCCCAGGGACTTAAATTCTGAGTGTCCCCACTCAGCGCGCGCATGGTGAGGATTTTGCGTGATAGTATGTGTGCGCAATGCCTGTATGATGCTTGGGTCGTTGGGCGATGAATGCGCAAGTGCAGGAATTATTGCGTAGATGTGCGTGAAGCGTGGGAAGTTGCGCGCATGGTACGCGCAAGGCGCGAGAATGTGCGCGCGCTATGCGTGAAGGCGCGGGAATGAAGCGTAGCATGGCAAATTGCAAGGGTGACTCTGGTGTGAATAGTGTTCCCTGGGTGTGAGGCGATGATGTGAGAGTGATATGGATGTGGCGCGCATATGGCATAAAGCGCGAGAAAGTGCGCGCGCGCAAGGCGCGAGAAAGCGCGTGAGTGTCGCATGTGTTGTATTGTGCGTATGATGCGAAGTGGTGCGGTCCAAGAGCGATCCAATCCAAGTCCAAACCAAGTCCTGCTAGGCGCACTAAATATTAGGTGGTAAGGTTTGAACAGTGTGAGTAAAACTATATGTGAAAATGCGAAGGAAAAAATGGTAAACTTTGCGGATGTCCTATCCGACTTGTCTTCGTCGTGCAGCTGTCGACATCTACACCTTCCTATGAGCGAGGCGCAGGAAGCGCGCATGTGTGCGCGCGCGAGGCGTATGGGCGCGTGAATATTGCGCGCGTATGTGCACGTTCTAAGGTAAAAAGGAGCATGGTGCCGCGTCATGCATGCGAAGAGAAAATATACTATTGAGCTAGGCGGGCACGTTCTATGATTGTTTTTCTTCTATGTTCTTCTAAGTGATTCCTATATGCATATATATCAGCGAGTTATTAGTTCTTTGGATGGCGTTATAATGAGAGAAAATAAAATGAAAGAGCGCTGGATGAAACCCAGGGTAAAACGAATGGTATCCTATGAAACAGCGATGCTATATGTTGTTCTTTCATGCGCGGCTGAGGCGCTTGATCCTCCTCCTTGAGCGCGTGCGAGTGCGCGTGACTAGCGCACTTCGCGTCTCTTGCGAGCTGACGCTTTACCCAAGGTAGGGTTGGAATGAGCGAGGCTGGCGCGCTTGGGGGGGGCTTGTAACTGGCAGAATGAATTCCTGCACAATGCGCTGCAGGTTGAAGGCGCGCCAATGGGAGGCGCTGCAAGGGGTGTAGGGGCGCCCTACAAGCTGATAGGATGCGCGCGATGTGCGCGCCTTGGTGCGATTTCGCGCGAATTTAATTATATTGGCCGAACACGCGAGGAACGGCCATTTCTCTGCAAATGCATTAGCGAGAGACATGTATAGTGAAGAATTAGGCGCAAATGTTGCGCCAATGGGCTGTAAGGGTGGTATATCAAGGCGCAATAGGCGCATAGGTGAAGGAGAATAGTGCACATCAAGGCGCGCAGGAATGAAATTGACATGGTAAGCAAAAGCGCGCAGAATGTGAATAAATGTGGGAAGTGCAAAGTTAAAGATGATGATAGGGGAGTTAGGCGCATATGTATGTGTCAGGCGCGCGCCTAAGTCGCGCCTGGATGGCTGATTGAAATATACTTTGTGTTGAATGATAGAAATGCGGTTTAGAAGGGGAGAAGCGATAGAAATGCGGTAGCATGAAAACTCTGCTAAAATTATGAGTGCGCGAGGCGCGGGAACGCGCGCGCATATTGCACGATGCGCGTGATCATGGTGCGTGAATAAGGGGTGGTGCAAAGATGAAGTTACAGTGATTGGAAGCATCATATAGCTCCTTAAGAGCTTTAAACATGAAAGAGACAGAAAACGCGAAACAAGATGAGGAAAAATATACAATGCCTCTAGGCGCGCGCATTGCGCGTCCTCAGGCGCAATATGGTGCGCCTGAGTCGCGCCAGGGTCGCCTGAGACATGCTCTGCTTGGTGGTTAGATGGTATGATGCATGGATGCTTTACCGGCGCGCGGTAGTCACTAGAAGCAAAAAGCGCGATGTGCGCGTGATCGTGAGTGACATCTGGAATTTCCAGAGACAAACTCTGGTTGATGCGAGGTGTGACTTGAGCTTCTGGTGCGGTAGGAGGCTCCTCTATAGGTGCGCTAAGGTGCAATAGATGTTTAGGGTCATCCCTGACCTCTGATGATGCGAATGGCGAATGCGGTGATGGTGATGGTGCGATTGGCGAGGTTTCTTCCTTAAGCGATGCGATAGGCGGGCGCGTTTCAAGCGACGGCGTAATAACGTCCACAATGGGCGCGTTACTGTGCAATAGATATTTAGAGTCATCCCTGACTTCGCGCGATGCGATAGCGATAGGCGCGCGCGATGCGTTAGCGATAGGCGCGCGTGTTTCAACTGGCGCGTTAGTGTGCAATGGATGTTTAGAGTCATCCCTGACTTCTGGTGATTCGATAGCGGTAGGCGCGTGCGATGCGATAGCGATAGGCGCGCGCGATTCGAGCGATGGCGCGTTAGTGTGCAATGGATGTTTAGAGTCATCCCTGACTACTAATGATGCGATTGATGGTGATGATGATGCGGATTGTGAAGGAGATGGTGCTGATGAGGATGATGGTGAAGAGGCGCCTGCAGTGCGCATCTGGTTGCGCTTCGCGAGCGCGCGCTCGAGTTCATGATCTAGAGTGATACAGTCTGGTATAGTTTTGCATGCTGGCATAGTTGATGGTGGAGGTGTGTGTGAATTGCGCGAAGGCGCGGGAAAGGCGCACGCGCGAGGCGCAAGAATAGGAACTGGTGGCCTTTTGTCAAGTGCAACTTCTGAGGGTGCGCAATAGAAGAGTCCTGCTGTCGCATTAGTACTGGTGGTCGTATCCTGGGTTGCGTGGCTCGCGTGATAGCGATCTTGGCACTTAGCCACTGGTGCGCTAACTGGCGTGTTTGGCGCTATAGTGGGCGCGCTAATTGGTGCGCTTACTGGTGCGCTTGGCGCGGGAAAAGCGCGCCCAGATAATAGGAACTGCGCAGCTGCAAAGACGTCCATAAATGGGTATGGGTCGTATGGGTGCTGGTCAGGGAACTTGATCATAAGGCGCAAGCGGATTTGCGCCTGAGCATCGCTAGGGATTCCTTCCATGAATAAGTGGTCGCGTTCGGCCTTTCCAATACGGTCTTCGTCCATGAGTGGCTGCATAATCTTCCTGAATGCGCGCAGGTAACTGCTTAGTTCTGTGCAAGAGGGCATTGGTTTGTTAGCGTATTCGCGCGCGATGGCGCGCAAGTCCGCGAGCGCGTAGCGTCTTTTACCATCCCATCCAGGATACATTACCTTCACCTCATCTAAAAAGGCGCTGTAATTATCTACTGCCGCTTCTGGCATGCCTCCCCATAGTTCTCGATCATCGCGCGCAAGGTAGCGGATGATACCTTTGATGCGGTCGAGTCCTTGGAGTCCTGCTTCATCAGCAAGCTGCTCATATGCGTCAATAAATTCGGCGAGGTTGTCTGTAGTGCCGTCGAACTTGGGCGCGTTTGCTGTGCCGCGGATGGGCAATCTATAAGGCATTGAGGCGCATGAAAGGTGCGCGCGCAAGGCGCACAGGGGTGGGAAAGCACGCGCGCAAGGCGCGAGAATGCGTGACTAGAAGTTGGTTAGCTTTTGAATATGCAAAGAGATTGACCTTTATGTGTTAAATAGTGTGAAGTGCGAGAAAGGTGCGCGCGCGAGGCGCACAGGCGTGGGAATATTGCGCGCGTGCAAGGCGCGAGAATGCGTGACTAGAAAATGATTAGCTTTTGAAATGCAAAGATATTGACCTGTATGCGCGAAATGCGCGGAACTAGATCTTGCTGACTGCTCCCCTCGCGGTGGGCTCCAGTTGTAGAAACAACAATACTGAGAGGAACAAAGAAATGCTCCTGACTGTATCTAAAAAGTTGTAGGTCGTGCGTTGCCTAGTCTGCGATACTTGAGATGGCAAGTGCATTCGACCCTAAAGGGGAAGCAGGTGCAGCGGAGATCTAGAGGTACGCACTTCAGCGAAGCGCGAGAAAGCGCAGGTGCGCGCAAGGTACGAAGGCGCGGGAACGCGCGCGCGTATTAGCGCGAAGCGCGGGAAAGCGCGCGCGTGTAAGCAGAAATAAGAGAGACTAAACTTATGTGAAGATATAAGCAAGATAAAGGATGTGAGATGTGTTGTGCTAATGAATAGATTTCTACTGCGGCTTTCTAAGTAGTAAGTACTAGGTAAAGTTGGGTGAAAAGTAAGGTAAATAATAGTATGTACTGCTGGCGCTTATATAGCGCGCCTAAGCGCGCTCATGCGGAGCCGAAGTGCTACCGAGTAGGTATGTAAAAATATATATGAGTGAGAAACTATGATAAAAATAAAGGTGGAACTATGCTAATAAAGGAAATGGAAATATACGCACTAGGGAGCTTGGTGGACAGTGGATGGATGCATCTGGATGGCTGGCGCTATAGGGCGCGCAAGCGCGGGAACGCGCGCGCGCGTATACATCGTGAAGCGCGGGAATGGTGCGCGCATGGCGCGCGTTGTGCGGGAAAGCTGCGCGTCATATAGGAATCACTGTGGATGGTACACAGAGTGATGCTGCGAGTTGGTGCTGTATACTCCCTAGTGTATAGCGCCATATCACACTATGAGATGCACGAGTCTCTACAGCGTGTCACGGTGTTGTACAATGGAGTGGTGTGAGCAGTGTAAGCGACGAATACAGGTGTGCACAGAATACAATGGGTCATAAAACAGAGGGTAATATGATTGGGTAAGGTGATCAACATCGCGAGACAGGCAATCTGCAACATTAAGAAGAACGTAACATGGGCAAACAGCATGACAGATATAACCATGGATATCATATACCAGTAGTAGTCACATCAGGTTGTCTCGGCATCATTTCTAGAGAAGGCGACAGGGATCTCCAACCAGGAGGCGTTGCGTTTTCGCCCCGGGAGTAATGTCGAGCCTTCTGGGGCCTTACAGGTGTACTTCTTGCGGGGTAATCTGCCTCTCCCAGTATTGGTACGGCCGCAGCCTACAAACGGACATCGAAAGACCATATACTTCTGAGAGAAATTGGCCTGGATCCGCTCCCACACAACTGGGGTCCCGCATTGCGGACACTGTAGAGGAAGTACATTTCCCCATGGACGAATAGAGACGTGGGCCCACTTGTAACGGGTAATTCGAAGCGGCACCGTGTCTTCAGGTGTTGCGGTCATCAGGAGAACGTCTGTGTGCATACCTAACCCCGACTGCTCCAGTATATTAGGGAAAGCTTCACGCAGCGCAAAACCTTCAACGATGACAGCTTGCGCGAATGATACCAGAAAATGGGAGGCCAAGCAAGGATGAAAGTCCTTGGCAGTAAACGCGACTGCATCTGAAAAAGCATGATCAACGACAGATGAACGCAAGCCCCGAAAACCTTCTGGTTAGGTGATAATGGCACCACAACCAAGAAAGAAGAGGGTGGTGCTCTCCGCACGTTGTATCACTTGCCCCCATGGGCCAAGTAACGAATTCATGAACTGGAACATTTAGCATCTAAGGGCGAGAACGCAAGCAACTAACGGTAGACTTACATCAGGGACGGTGGCTGCAACATAGGAAGATTCGTGAGAGTATCCAAGAAACGGGTCGCCAGTGGTATTGTCAGTGTGATCGGTGATGGCGATACACACAGTTTGGTAGTTGCAGTCGTCCATTACGTCGTTTGCGAGCTTCTCATGCTGTTTGGAATAGGCCATGATCTTGGCATTGGTGCCAAGGTCAAAAATCACTTCAATGAATTGGAGGCCCCCATTCAGAAAGAAAGAGGAAAGATATGAGTTAACCGTGTCGATCGGGCTCGCAGTGGCTTCAAAGCCCACAATTTTGAAGTGAATAACGAGTACGGGCCTCGCGGATATCTGAGAACGTTTAGATAATTGCAACTGCCCAACGATGGGTAGGAATGACGGTAAAACGGGCTTTCCGTTCTTGAGAAATCCCTAAACGGTTGTTATGAAGTAAATGACAAGACATATGTATGAGTAGACTCACATAAAACGGCGTAAAATCACCAGACTTCTTGTCCAAGAGTGTATGGCAGTGTATGCAACAGAACTTGACGTCCGGTTGCTCAATGAGGTGTAGGTGACTGGCCGGAAGTAGCATGCATCTAGTACACATAACGCGTGGACAGCCAGGCTCCTCACATACATAGAGGGTGTCCTTGCCATTGCTGGGAGTGCCATCTTGGCAGATCAAGCAAAACTGTGGATATGAATAAAGGATCGTCAATTGAGTGAAGTGCCACTCACATCATTCTTTGGCGGTCCGGAGTGAATTTCCAGGCGAGATTGAACCATTTCTTGAAGGATCTGTGGCGGAGTTGTCCCTACGAACGCTGGAGTTTGACACTTTGGACCATTCTTTCGAGGGGCGATCCCACCAGTCGCTTTGCAGGCAGTTTGTTTCGTTCTTGCCATTGTGCGAGACCATCAAAGAAGAGTAGCCAAACAACTAAGTGTGCGGCGGCAAATCCCGCTGAAAATTGCAGCTCCATCTGGCCATGTGCGGCCCGATCTGACTTACTGAGTCATTCCTTTCACAGATCACTGTCAGCCAGAGAAGAATGATAATTGTACCAGTGACCAGTGACAAAACCAGACTTATCATCGGTGAGTAATCTTGTTGCATATGAGGGTTCAAATCCATGGCTAGAAAATATCTCATAGATCATGATCATGATGGGGATTGTCACACTCCCAGTCACATTTAAAAACCATCGTCGAGTCCGTCACAGTGTCCCCAGGTTGGCAGACCATCAAGCAGGTATCGGATCGAGGCTGGCACGTCCACCTGAGCATAAGTTCCAGCCTCACGAGTGAAATTTGGAGCTGCGGCGGCAGCAATTTGACAGTGTTGTGGCAACACACACTTGATACCGGACTTGGATGTTTAGGTATGTCGTTGAGTCACACAAATCAACTGAAAACTTATTTGTTCTGCTCTTCGTTCATCAGAAGAAGAACCTTTGGATCCTCTGAGACGCCGCATACCACGTCCGAGTAGTTGCACTGCCTCATGATCCACTGATTTTCACCTCACGAGTCACTGGGCAGGCCCGGGAGATCGGACAGGTGAACCACAACGAGTCAGACCCCTACGATTTCAACCCTTGGCCTGGGCTGTGCGATGATGACCCTCGTCCCAATCTATATGATGACTCTTTCAACCCTGCTCCGCCACCTCCCCTACCACTTGAACAAGCCCGTCCCCCCGCTGCATCTTACCCGGATGGTCCAGACCCAGAACCTCTAGTATCACAGGTGAGCTGGGTACAGGCTCTCTTTGACAGTTTTTCGCCTGAACCACAAGCCAGTCACCAGGAGGCGGGATCGTAGCTACTACATTGGGCGGTAGGTCACCCAGGTGCAATACCCCTGTGATATTGACTCAACCGAAACACGATGCAAGTCATCATGATTGCTCGCTTACATGCTATGTATCGGAGATTTAGAAGGATGCTTATCTTCCTTGTTATCATCTTCCTGATTGTTTCCATCATCTGCAGAGCAATCACAGCAATAGGAATCAAGGATACAGTGCTGGGTAAGCTTTATTTGTTGACTTGAAGAACACAGCTTATCGGACAAACGTCAGAGGAGCTGATACTCTCTGGCGTATATATGTGCTATCTTGGGTCTGAGGGGATTGTCCAGCTTTGGAACTCGACAGTTTGTGCGTGCTACATCTTTTGGAGTGCCTCGCATTATGTCTTTCAGTCTGGATCGCTATAAAACACTTCCGTGACCTGTGACAATTCGGCTCATCAACAGGATCGACCATCGGGGATTATTTCAGAGTGCTGATACAATCTCATGTGCTTTATTTTACGAGGTGAGCTTGTAATGTGAATGTGGTTATCTTTTCCTGCTCAAGTTCCGCACGTGCTAGCTTTGTTCGAAGTCTATGGGAGTTCATAGACTCTTTAGTGCAAATCAAATTTTATTTGATGTGCAGTTGTTTATTCTGGGACCACGCCTCATCCTTAGCGTTCGAGAACAGACATCAGTGGATTAGTGAAAAAATATTTTTACGTTTCTGTGCATCCCTACCATTAACTACGTTCCTTTTGCGATTCAGGAAACTACCAAAAATCAAACTCAAGCTCCACATGCCAATGGGTCAAGCATTTGTGTCCAAAGCCAATGAGTGAGGCCCGCCTGCACAGCATCATGGGTCGAGCGTTAAATATTCGCGAACACGTCAGCGTGCAATATTTATGTGCATGACCTCGCTTCTGAATTTTCAACTCGGATCCGAGTAACGGTCCTTCCTTCTCAGCATATCTCTACTGTCCAGCATTCCTTTTCACTTTCTGTTAATCATGGCAGTGGGCAAACTCTCCTTGACAGCGCGGTACGCTCGTCAGCTCATTCACGTGAGCATTTCTCGCCAACTCTGTACTCTCGCGTGAGTCTCACAATAAGAACTACCTATTCATCTCTCAGGTCTAGGTGGTACGATTGATACGCTGCCCGGCACCAATCATAGAAGGATGACAGCATTTCTCTGAATGTCAAATTCTGTATTATTGGTGCTGGAGTAGCTGTGATATATATTGCCATGATTCTGAAAGAACTTGGTGTACAGTCCGATCTCGTGGAAGCCTTGGACCGTGCTAGGGGACGTTTCTATACCCATAGATTCAGTGAGACTCCTCATGACTACTGTGATGTAGGGGGTCAAAATTTCCGATGATGACAAAGTAAGTAGGGTATTTTGGTTTTGAACACAATTCTAACGTGGACACCAGAGCACTTGCTCTATTCGAAGATTTGGATGTTCCCTTAATTCCCTACTACGTTAGCAACGAGGATGAATATGACCGGCTTGAAGGACAAGAACATTGTACATTACTGTTCTATTATGTTATACTGACAATCTCACCTAGTGGGTTGCAGAATTTGTTGGGAACCATAAGATTCACAAGCAACATGTCATATTGGATCAATGTATGTGTTGGGAATCGCAATGCACCATCTGTTAACCCCTCACCTTAGAACGGTTTTCCATTCGAGTTCCAGGATCAAATCGCCTTTTGGATCGTAGGTGGGCAGAATATCCTTATCAATGGTGGTGGGACAATAGATGGTTCAGGTCAAGTATGCTAATTAACACATAGAATTTATGTCCTGCTAATCTCACAACCTGCAGGTCTGGTATGACACGTTGTGAGCAGGACTGACAGTAGTCTGGGTGTGACGTTTGTTTGGTTGACTCTGCACTCAGCGCCAATAACAGCACTTTCTTGTGTCCGATCCTGCTCACGATTTACCAAGCTACTGATGTTGCCATCAAAAATATTACGATGATCAACAGCCCTGAGTGGTTTAACTTTGTGAGCATTTCAGAGTTTACTCAATCATTGACTTGACCAGCTTACCCTCCCTCCACGGCAGGTTAATGAAGGGCAAAATGTTGTCTAAGACGGCATCAATATTAGTGTCCTCTCCACATCAAAAAACCTTGCGCAGGATACTGATGGCTGGGATATATATCGCAGTGATAGCATTTCCATCATGAATTCGAACATCAACAACGGCAATGATTGTGTTTCAATAGAACCAAGTACTATCTATTCTCGCCTGGGCTTCATGGTTCGCTCATGCAGTCTTTGTCTTAGATTCAACGAATGTCATTGCATCAGACCTATACTGTAACGGTTCCCAGTCCGTAGAAGTTTTCTTTGAGCATGGTATGCACCTGCTCACATCTTGTTGACAGTGGTATTTCCGTGGGATCCCTCGGGCAGTATGCTGGGGTATATGACATTGTCGAAAACTTCACTTCGACGTGTGTTTGAACACGGACTTCGTTCATAGCCAGGAGCACTGATTAAGAACTCTCAGCAATGTCCAAATGTATAACGCTCAAAATGGTGCGCACATTAAAGCCTTTGCTTGTCCGGGGGTCGGTAGTGGCATTGTGAAGAACATTACTTTTAGCTTCTTCATCGAGGGCAATGTCGACAACCCCTTAATCGTTGATCAGGTTGGTGCTCATCTTCTCACGATCTGCAAGAGACTAATTAATCGATCAGAGAGCGCGTGTACATGTGAGTTGGTGCTCCATAATTCTCCATCGTTTATGTTCAATGACCATTAGGCAGCTTGATTATCATACCAGTCAATGGCTAGAGACCATATTGCGTACGAGGTGCTTTGACTCCACCACGATTCCCACTACTGTTCATATCATCTCCAGTGACTTCTTTGACATTCGGTGCTGTATGTTTACGATATCAGTATTGTCAGGTTTATCGACACTGACCGTTCATGAAGACGGCTGCCAACCGTGCTCAAGGATCACAACGAAGTACGCTTCCTTTTCTTGCATCGTTGAGATCCAGTCTCTGATAGTTTGACCCAAGTGATACTGGGATTGTCATCGCCCGCTTCTTTCTTGGCTTTGCCGAAGCTCCCTTTCCCCCACAATTTATTTCTTGTATCTAAACGGTACAAGCGAGACGAGGTCGCCTTGAGACTAGCTCTCGTTTCTTGTAGAAGTTCTCTCAGCTTTGCATTCAGATCCCTGTTTGCATCCGCTATACCCTGCAGCATGCAGGACAAATTTGGTCAAGCTGCATGCAGGCAGGTGACGAACGTTTCCATAACTGAATGATTTGTAGATGGTTATTTTACATTGAAGGCGGTATCACCATCTTGGTCACAGTTTGCGCGATGTTCATACTTCCTGATTTCCCGCACAACACCAGATGGTTCACCCCAGAGGAAAGCGAATTATTATTTCTCGCCTTGCAGAAGATGGCTATGGTAAGGCTGACGAGCTTGGGAAGCAGACGACCATAAAGGACTACGAGATGCCGTGTCTGACTGGAAGATGTGGTGGTTTTCGGTCGCAGCCATGTTTCAGGCAGTAGGGCAGTCCCTCTTCACTTACTTCCCAATGCTGTGCATGACTCTGGTTGCACGCTGGGCATGTGGGGTTGGGAATTTCGATATTTGGTGGAGATGTTTGTTGAGAGGTACGTGGCCCGTTCTCAGCTGGAACAACAGTGCGCTGTGTCTGCATAGTAGTTCGCTGACTAGCTTAGCGAAGTGCTTTGACGGGGCGGTGGGGTCAATGGTACGTAGTCTTGGTAGCGGGGCGAACTTTGCAGTATGTTTTTGGATTCTTCTTGCAACATCTTATTGAAATCTCGCTTGATGGCAGATTTGCTGATGGGGAGCACTGTGGGAGTGCAGTTTCGTGATCCCCATGCCTTGCTGCTACTCGCCTGTTGACAGATGGCAAGTGTCTTGGTGGTGTCGATTCCTCGACGCATGCTCATGGTCCCATGCCTTACTGCCACTCGCTTGTTGGCAGACAGCAGGTGTGTAAATTCAGAGCCCGGTGTCTTATTCAGCTCTGGCGTGTCAGATATTTTTTATGCCCCCATATAACGGGTTGTTACGCATGGCAACAAGGAGCTAGGGTTTGGAATTGCCAAGGTGCGAGACGCAGAATATTCGTGGGTTATTTCAACTAATCAAGGTACCGCTAGCTTTGTGAAGGAGACGCAGAATATTCCAACTAATCCTCTATCATCAAGGTATTGCTAGCTTTGTGAAGAAAACGATCGGTGCAATCACCCGTGCCATGCTATGTGACAGTGAATTTGAGAACCCCACTGAGTCAAGGTTAATTTCAATCGAGTCTTGGACAAACTGATAACGCTTATGATCAATCCTTTCGCACTTTCTTCAACCCCAGCATTTTCAATAACCAACTTCTGCAGCTCAACATGATTCCGACGTTTTTTTTTCCTTTGGTACGGGTCTCGGCACACTCTGCACCCTCTTCCTCCTCATGGTCCTTCTCTCCACCACCCTCCTCTCTACCACCCTTTGAGTCTTTGCCTCCATCTCCATCCACACTGCAGCAGCGCTGATCGTCGACTCAGGAGTCAGCGCGTGTAATCAGATTCGATAATGAACTACTTACCATATCTTGCGGTTCCACATACCTTTGACGTTTGGATGTTTAGTACGAGGTAGAAATCGATAGCGTCGATTTCCTTTTTCAGCGGGTGAGCATAAAGTATACGAATTATGTAAGCTCCATCGGACACATTCGCTCACTGGGACTTTTTAGTCAGACACTACGGTGTACCACTCTGAGTCTACTCTGTCCGCTCATCTCAGACTCTATTTCACTAGCTTTTCAATAGTACCTATAACTTCCTCATGTCACAAGCATCAGCCACCGACGACGCCAAGGATCGACGCACCCACAACGATGAGCAGCTTCTCTCACAAAATGACGTCGTAGGCTTCATCGAGGAGTGAGTGGCAGCTTCCTGAAATCTATAACTTGTCTAACAGCAAGACAGGGAGAAGATCAATGTTGAACCTTTGGCAGAGCTGTTATCAGGAATGTATGTGTTTCTTCCCTGATGGGCGTCTGTGCCACTCCTTACTATAACTGCAGCTCGAGTGCTGGACCTTCACAGCCGTCGGAACCTCCAGTACAGCAAAATACATCCGATGTTCCACCAGTCGACGATTTGACTTTGTGAGTCCTTGTCAATAATGACGCCAAACATATTCCTCATTTGTCTCAGCGAGGTGGCAAAGCTTGGGGCAGAGAAGGATGAGCGATACGCTACCGACATGAACATTGTCTTGATCTTTGTAAGTTCAGGGTGCTTATCTGTATTCCGTTTTGAGACTGATGTTCGACCAGTCTGGTATTTTCTCCGCTGGAAGCACGTCTTTCATTGTCGCGATGAAGCCCAATCTCAGTCCCGACCCTAGCGACACCACGAATGCCCTTTTGAAGCAACTCGTGCAGATCGGACTTGGCAATCTCGCTGAGGCAGGCTCCACTCCCATAGATCCAATATCTACATGGTCTCTGACCGCGCCGACCTTATGGATGTATATCGTACCTGTCTGCAACGTGATATAGTCTAGTGTTCAACTTCGTACATTTCTCTTGCCCTGCATCCGTCACTACTGCTAACTTCCTACTGCCGTACTCTAGTAGTGTTGTCTCCAGTTCTTGAAACCATTTCTATCTACGACTAACGACATTTGTTTTGAACATTCGCTCTTCTTGACATGCTTTCCTCCCTTCATTATCACTTGGTGTGTCTCCCATATACTATCTACGGTATTGTGTTGTGTGGCCGTTACAGATGCGGAGCTCAAAAAAGGTATACTACAGAAAGAGAGTAAACAGTGGAGCGTGGCGCACGCACGGGGTGGGACGCGAATTGCTTCTGCGAGATCATCCTTACGTATTATGTTGGATATATTGAGATATAATGACTGTAATATATTTCTGGGAGGCCAGCTTAAAGCTTAGATGAGTACATGAGCACCAACTATCCTTTACTAGCTGTAATTGTGCCGTATCGTAAATTTTGTATGAACACCTCATAGTAGTCTACATTTTTTTTGCATCCATTGCTATGTACTAACAACTCAATTTCTTTAGCCTTAAATAGCTTGGCGGTTCAAAGCATTTGTTATGAAGAATGGGACTACTCAAGGAGAATGAGACTACTCAACAAGTGGGATGTAATTAAACTGATAGCGCAATATCTCAACCTTGCCGCAAACTCTTATACTTATCTAGACCCGATGACCGGTGCTAATGCCACTTCCCACGATAAAGCCTTCGATAGCTATGTAGCTCAAGACCTTAATAACAGAAAACGAGAATATCCAACAAGGTTAACGTAAAGACCCTTCTATCCCTTCCCGGACACGATGGTGCAAAGTCGTGATTTTGTAATGAACTCTTCAATGTAGTCTACATTTGCAGGCATACATGGTCATGTATCAACAACTCAAATTTTCTGCCATATAGATAGTTATATGTAGCAGGCGCAGAATTATATTCTTCTATAGTTCACACGACTACAATATCAAGGACTCATGAATTCTCTGATGTCGACTCGGGTCGGAAGGTAAATTCTACGGTTCGTGCCACATTCGCATCATTGCTATGATTGGGGATTACAAATAGGAATTTCCGCAGGACAAGAGGATATCGTGTGACCTAGAAGAAACAATCACTGTGTTGTGGACCATCGGTCACAACTTTTTTTATCCTTGTTGTCACAACGTAACTTGAATGTGCATCTCTTGCTGCGGATACAATTGACGCTGAAAGTATTAAAGGCAGGGCCATTCTAATAAGCTACGTATCTATCCTGTCCATCATGGGGCCTGATATCGACTTTCCATTCAGCGACCTTCCTATCGAGATTATCTTGACCATCTGCAAAGACGCAGCCCAGCCGACGTTTTCTCAAAGGGAGAAATATGACATCAAAAATCCTTACTCGACCGCCCTCTCCTTATGTCTCGTCTCTCGACTTGTCAGACGCATCATCCTCCCCGATTTCCTGCACACGATCTTGCTCCGCCGACATCACAGCTTGAAGAAGTTCGCAAATGCCCTGCTTATGCAGAAAGCGTACGCTGAGAAAGAAAGCGATTTTTTCTTTGACTATACCTCCGCTATACAGAGGATGTGGATTAGTAACGCATTTGACTATTTCGTCTATGCAGAACCCCGCCCGCCGAACAACGCCAGGTTTATCCTTTTTATGGCCCATTTTTTTTCCTCAAAAACAGACGAGCTCAGGCGCAACATAAGCGTGTTGCTTCCAGTGATCCTTGCTGCGACAGAACTTGCTGTTGACCGTCGCCATTTAAGGCTTGTCATGAGGAGCGTGCAAGACGCGTGGTCTTCTCGCACAGATCTCAATGTCGGCGGACACTCTTCTTTTCCTGGGAAAACCAAAAATCTAACAATAATACGTGAAGGCGATGACTTGGACACCTGGACAGGCCAGAACCCGGACTTTTTTTCCGATGAGATCAAAGAATCTGTTTTCCTTGCATCAATCCCGCATCTCACTCATCTAATCGATTTGGCTGAGGAATCAAACACTTTTCGCGGCATCAGCCATGGTGTACACTCGCCAGGAAACTCGCTGTTTTTTTGGAGGAAGGACACTACGTGGGCTTATATGAAGAGCCTTGAAACCCTTTCAGTGGTCTACCCGCATCTGCCTCCCCTCCACGATTTGAAGTCAATTTCATATGCTGCATATGCCACAAGGGGAATAGACTTGCATGTGGAGCGACTCACGGTATCTGCTGCCCTTTACAAGCAGGATCCTGACTCCTTCCCGTGGGGGCCACCGTGGTTTCCTGTGACGGATCCTGGAAATAAGAGGATACAATCGGATGGCGTTTCCTTCGAGGTTACGCGTGATAAGACCTACTGTTCACAGTATTTTTGCTCTTGGGAGAAAGCTTGGGCCTGTGGGTTAACCGACGGATGAGGGGTACTGGATGTTAGGCTGATGATGATAAAGGCTTTGAAATGACTATCTTGGATATGTGCCCGCTTGCCATCTGTTTTCTGTCTTACTGTACTTCTATTGTAGACTTCTCAAGCTCAATGGATAGGATGGAGACTGTACGATTGATGAGCCATTAGCTGCAGCGTGATCTCGGTTCCAGATGCTAGAGAGTGAAAGGAAACCAACAACAGCAGGTGCACGACGAACGATGAACGATCGCATGCGATAAACCGTCGACGAACAACGCAAACAATTGAACAAGGTTGCACATATTTCACGCTGGATCCACGAACCATGCACGAGACTCGCTCTACAGTGAGATTTTTTCAAAGGTTGCATTCACGATGTACGCCAAGAATGCGACTCGAGTAGGACAGCCTAGCTTAGTTTCTTCGCAAGTCAGTGGGTACGCTTCCAGGATATTTCAACAACCAATTGTGAGGGGGTTGCTCGCCAAGCACGAGTGAGGCGTATGAACTGACATAATGATTCAACGTTGGCTACAGAATTTCAATGCATTCCATATTCACATTGACACTCAAGCCTTCTTCACGCCCTCTTGCGCACAACCTGTTAAGCGAGCAACGTTAACGCTCGGAATCGAAAAGCAGTAAGGAAAGACAAGCTCACTCAGGTTCCACACTGGAAATCTTCCTTACTAGCATCCAACGTACAGCAACCCGAGCAGGCACACGGCGTGGCTTGCATAATTTTTTTTTTCGGTCCGCAGAAAAAACCGTAATCGTTCCCGTTGTTATAACCCTTCAAGCCTTTCCTTGAGCATTGCATTGAATCTGTGGATAACCGTAAGTACGCGGTCTGCGGATAGTAGGCCGCAAAAGTACTTACTACTGGGGGTGCATTTACGACCTACGGGTGATATTTCTGAATCAGATGCGATAACTGTGCCGACCATCGCCGCGGCAGATATGGCAATAGTAGTGAGTGAGGTGAATCTCATAGTCGAATGTTGATGGTGTTCTCTGGGCCACATAGGTTGGCTTTTATACACGACTAGTGTCAGGTACGGCCAAACGCCTTCATGTGCTTACATTGCCAGATGCTAGCGTAGGGGGCAGGACTACGTGGAGTCATTTCCGCCAGTTGTTATTAGATCTAAATTAGATCTTCGTGGGTCTCGGATACTAGTTCTGCCACACTCCCTTTGTGTGAGTGTCGCCGCGGAACAGTTTCACCAGACCGGCTGGCAAAACTCTTGAGTTCTGCCAATTACGATACCAGCAGATGATTGGGAATAAAACGGTTTAACAGATAGCAACTCATGCCCTGTAATATAATTTTCTTACAACCATGGGGTAGGTAGGGCTGGGTGAACTTCAATCATTCATCGCCTGTGAAAATCGAATACAAACCGATCCACGATTGTGGAATCCCACAGGTTGCTAGAAGACGAAGACGCGCTGGCTGTTGCAGCCACCGTTGTCCTAGTTGGCATTCAAGTTGAGCTCGCTAGACAGACAGTATCGAAAGTCACCAGCCACGACGGCTACACCTTTGCCATCCACAGCTAAGAGTCTTAAGCTGAACCCACGGAAAGATACCCCGGGCGGGGTACTAGCCTACTAGGTCCTATTTGCCACTCCGAAAGATTGGGTATTCATTCGACGATGGGGTTTGAATGGCTCCCCTCAATCGGTCTGGATACACATCAATTAATGTGTGAATCAGCTCCATGATGACCATCGTGATGAGTCTCGTTGCATCCGACTAGTGCCCTCGAGGCTCACATCCGACTTGGCTGCCTAGACTATGTCTCTCACATATTTCGTTGCGGCACAAGCCTGACCCTTCAGCAAATTTTGACCATTAAAAACCAATGAAGATCATACCAGTTGTCTGCGAGGAAAGGCTCGAGCTCTGGCATCAGTAAACCGGTGAGTTCTTGCTGGGGATTATGCTGATTATGGTGCTTTTACATGGTCATATATTGCTTTATATCACTTTATATTACAATGTGACGAAAACCTTTCCTATATATTACGATATATAACGATATATGACGATATCTTCTTCTCACAGGTTCTCTGATGCGGGCTCCCGGCTGACCATCACTTGGACTCCGAGTCAGGCTGCAGAGAAAATAATTTCACATTACGTCTAACTTATATAAGCACGGAACGTTCGGTCCCGCGGAACCAATTCGCGTCTACCTCACATGCGCGTTCCACTTGAGCCCTCCGCTGAGCACCACCGATCGTTCGAGCGCTCCAAATCTGTGTACTAGGGGTCGGTGTTGCCGACGTGGACCCAATTGCTCAGCGAATTGTGTTTATTTATTTTTTGTTGCGACCAAATCTCGTTTTTTGTGTTGCCAGTCAATGGTCACTTTCACTTCAATTTTCATGGCGACCAGTAATAACAGTTCTGAATCATATAGTGGTGCGTTTCTGTTGTATTTTCTTTTGATTTTGGGGTTAGTGGAGATGGCGGGCACCGGCGTCATAAACGAAGTATAACACACTAAGTGAGCAACATCAACACTCGGGCTCAAAAGGCAGCAGGAAAAGGCAAGGTGGCTCACTCATTTTCCACACCGGATGGTCCGCCGTGCCGGCCCATTATAAACCATTTTACAGCAATCTCCGCAATTACACCCCTGGTATGTTATAATTGAAGAATTCATTCCACCCAAAGGCTTTTATGCGTGATCGGTGTCAGGACAAGCCAAGCGCTTTCATGTGCTTGCATCTCCGGATACTATTTGAGGTCAATCCCGCTGGGTTTGTCACCTGCATAACAGCAAGTGAGCGAAATTTTGTATTCATGATAGCGGTCATTCGAACTGTTCTCAACTCGTTCCAGGTGCTCAAAATTGTCTCTGGTCAGTGACACAAAGGAGCGTCCTCCGTCCTGCGGCATGCACCATCTTCAGGGATGTCGGTTTCCATGTTCAATTGAATTCAAACCGTGTCATCCCCGATGCATCTCCGCGAGCCTTGCGCCCTGGAGTTCTGCCTGGTTCTGCCACCTTCCTTATGTGAGTTTTGCCAGTCGGGAAAACTCTCGAGTTCTGCCAACAACGCATTTCTCAAGGATGAGCGACCCTAGACGTACCTAATATCATCGCTTGGATAACAGGTCACATCTGCAAACTCAAGCTTCAAGACCCACTGTAACGTTGCTACCAGGATATTATATTATTTGCACGAGGATTTGTTCGAACGTATATATAGCCCCTGAGTACTAGTAATCACCTCGGAGAACCTTCGGGTCCCGGCGTAATTACTCGAAAATCGGAGCTTGAACGCTCTTAGAATCTACAAGTATGCATTTTAAGCTTAACAATCAGCTGCTGCACGGTGCCAGTCTTTGCATCTAGCATCCTTGTTGTCAACATGATAGTTTCCACCATCGTCCATGCACGGCATGCCCTCACCACTCGGTTACTTTCTCAGGCGTGTTCCCGCACAATGATGACAACAGCTGCACAGGCGAAACGCGCAGCTAAACAGGAAGGCACGATTGCGGACGTGTTCACGTCACTAGACCCTGGTACCGAAGTCGCTGCACTTCCTGCTCGGTTCATTCAGCTGAAGAAGGATGTGCTAACTGATATGGGCGCGACACATGCGAGCATCATGCAGGCCTGGAAACAGGTTCTAGCTGCTTTGGAAGCACGAACGAAGGAGATTGTTAGTTTGGGGGGAGAAGTATACGCACCTCTTCGAGTGCTTCTTTACATGACCGACAGGAAAATAGGTGATCCCTCGTGTGTCGTTTACCGATATTGAACGCGGCTTGTCCGACACTCAGAAGGATCGTATCAAGAAATCTGGTGTTGTTGTAGTAACGGGTGCAGTTCCAAAGGAGGTTTGTTCATTGTATTACTGTGATATCAGTCAGGTTTTTTGACTAGCATGATATGTATAGGAAGCGCTACGATGGAAAGCGTCAGTGAAGGAATATATCACTGCAAATCCCGTCAAAGGTCCGTACATGCCCTCACTCTTTTCCCGTGACCTGATATCGTGTCGCAGGCTTCCCAGCGAACGACATTCAGGTATACGAGCTCTATAACACCAAACCTCAAATCGCAGCACGCACTCATCCAGCCATTCTTCGCACTCAACAAGAGCTCCTCCGGTTTTGGCATGACCCATCAAACAAACACGTCGACTTCAGTACTCCTATCAGTTACTTCGACCGCTTGCGCATTCGCACTCCTGGCGACAGATCATTCACAGTTGGCCCTCATATCGATGGGGGAAGTGTCGAGCGCTGGGAGGATCCCACGTTTCGTAGGGTCTTCCGCAGAATTTTAGCTGGGGGAGCGGGTTGGAGGTCACACGACCCATTTGATGTGTCCTGGCGCGTGGATGCAAAGCAAGATCTGTACAATGCACCGTATGCGTTTCATCTTTTCCTTTATACAAGTATACGCTCACCAAATTCGAAGGGGTCAATGTTCTGTCTTCCGTTGTTGGCAAGGCTGGACCTCACTCTCTACAACTGGTGTCGGCGAGGGTACACTTCGTGTACTTCCAATGCTCTCCCTAGCGACGGCGTACATCATGCTTCGTCCTTTCTTCCGTCCTGACCCTGCTGGTGGCGAGTGGGTGCTAGACTTGGAAAGCAGTTCATTTCCAGGAAGTATACCAGGCAAGGGGCAGGAGCTCAATGAAGAAACGCATCCGCATTTGAGACTCGGCGAGACCATGACGAGCATTCCCGAGATTCAACCTGGTGATCAGGTTTATTGTATGTGGTTTCTTATATTCTCCGATTTGCTTTCTTGACCGTATTCGCCTGGACAGTGCACTGCGATACCGTACATTCCGTTGAGAAACTGCATGGTGGTCGAAGTGATTCGTCGGTTTTCTATATTCCTGCAGTCCCACTTTCTGTGAAAAAGTGATTTTCCCGTGACTGGTAGTCTAAGCTCAACTTGAAATTTGCCTTGCTCAGCGCATCATACATTCGTGACCAACGAGCCAATTTTGTGCACGGTCTTCCTGCTCCGTATGCATTTTATCTCGAGTGATTCTCTAATGCTGACTACTCAATGCTGGCAGGGATTTCCCTGGAGGCTCCGGCGAATCTACTTTCGCGGGACGAGCTACGGCGCAGGATATCACCACTAGCCAAGGGCGTCGGGCGTTGGGTTTCGAGCCATTCGTATCAGGAGGGGTAGAGAACGATGAGCTTGTTGATGCAGCGAATCGTGTGTTGTTCGGTTGAGGGTTAACGAGTTTCACGTATCTCGCTGCAATAAGAACGTTCTTGGTTACTGAGTACATAATAGTTAGTCCTTGAAAGGCTGAGCAGTCCAAATACATCAACGGAACATTCAAGTTGAGAAGAGACTTACGTGAAGATGTGGCAGAGCCATCTGAACACGTTTCTGAGGCGACTAATAGTCTAGGGTTCTGACACCAGATAGGGGTCAATACGTCAATGAACGAGGCTCGCACGGTCACTCCCACACGTTTCTCCCCAACATCATCCTCTCCGTTCCCAATCATCCCTCTAAATCCTTTTCATCTATAAAACATCCCAAGTCCCGTTCCAGTATCCAGTACAGTATGTCAATCGCCTTCGTCGTATCAACTAAGCAAATGTTCACCACCCCGTTCGGCTAGGTGTAAAATTCAGTCATAAACATCTCGCATGAGTCAAAGCAAAGATGTATCTCCCACCATTCTCTACAGCACTCGCAGACTCGGTCTTTCCATTCAACTGGATTTACGACGCCACGCGTTTATTCGTCGTGTATCTAGCTGCGTTCTTTACCGCTAGTCCTCAGTCTATCGAGGTCCAGGGTAGTAATAGCAGTGGGGATTATCTGATTGGGCTTGGTGAGCACAGTCCTACTAGAGAGCCAGTGCGATACTGAGGATATACCCTGCAGGCATCGGAGATGTTACTGGGTGTGTTTGTCGCCTTCTTGCTGTTCTTCGAGTACCTCTCATGATGCCTCCAATAGCCCAGTCGTCGAGACAAACATGATGGTACGTCACTTCATTCCTAACCACATTTACCGTCTAAGTAGCGCGTCAGGGTTATGCATACTTACCACAAACTGACACTGGTCTCCACATGCGCCAACGCAGCCGCGCATTCATCGTTGCCGACGCCTCAAACCCGTCTGAACGTGTTCTTTTCATTAACTCTGGTATGTCATTTATATCCAATTCATATCATCCAATTCAACATCACCATGACAAATAGATATTTGTATGGGGGACACCGGAATCCGACGAACCATCCTCTCCTCTCTTCAATCATCCTACGGGGACCTCTACACACCCGCCAACACTGCCCTCGTCGGAACTCATGCCCACAGTGGCGTCGGTGGTTATCTCGAGAACCTCCTCCCACAAGTCACTTCACTCGGATACGTGAACGCAACCGCAGCCGCCATAGTCTCCGGCACCCTCAAAGCCATCACAGACGCGCACAACTCACTTGTACCGGGTAATCTGAAGCTCGGAAACACGACGTTGCTTAATGCGAATCGGAATCGGAGTCCAAGTGCGTATTTGGCCAATCCGGAGTGGGAAAGAGCGATATATGAAGGAAATCAAGACACGACCGTTACGGTTTTGGGCTTTGAGAATGCCGATGGAGATGCGACGGGGTTGCTGAGCTTTTTTCCGGTGCATGGGACGAGTTTGTATGAGGTGCGTGAATGTCTAGGTGCTGAATTTTAGAGATCTCAAGGCGGTATGTAGAACAATACCCTGGTGAGCGGTGACAACAAAGGCATGGCAGCGTGGATGTACGAATGTGAGTCTCCCTCAAACCACATTTGGCAAACCTAATACTCCAGTAGCATACATCGAGCCTTCCTCAATGCCTGGCAATAACTCCTTTGTTGCAGGGTTTGTACAATGTGAGTCACCATCCCCTCTTCCTTCCTTCATGTTGAAACAAGGCACTTGAAGCCAATGTGGGCGACACCACCCCGAATACGTGAGCCTTTTGTTGTGGTGATAATGTTTGATGTATTGACTTCATTTGCATCATGTTTCCCACCTCAACAATATATATACAACGTTCTCCTTCATCAACACCGATAACCTACGTCCCGGTCTTCATCATGCATATCCTCTACAAAACACATAATCTCTTCGCCCGTATTCGCCCCTAATAGCCTGGGCGCCTACTGCGAGTCACCCGGAAAACCATGGGATGGCCAACCCTGCGAGTTCGAGCATTCGACATGTGGTAATCGAACCGAAGACTGTCACGGACGGTGAGTTTGTCTTCTATCCTTTCTCTTCACTTGCTTGTTCGTTATTTTCCTTCCTCACGTTTGATGTCAATAAACATATCACCTGTCGCGGTCGAACCAGCGAGCACTTTGTACCTTATTTCGTTACAGTAAGAGACAACGTACTCTCTGCTCTTCCGTCATTACTCCGATCTCTTGCTGTTATCGTTGCAATGCACTGCGCTGCTCATTCACTTTCCATTACATCATTTCTTTTGTCGTTACCAGACCTACACTGATAACTTATTTCCTCTCCGCATATTAAGGGGTCCCGGCTTCAACATATCGGATTTCGAGTCCAATAGGATAATCGGGCAGGCACAGTTTGAAGCAACACGAACTGTGATGGAAGGCAGCAATATGACTGCTGTGAGCGGAAGTGTGAAGAGCGCGCACGTGTATCTTGATATGTAAGTGCATCTCTCGTTGAATTGGCGGTGGGATGATACGGTTGAAGGACGAATTATTCGTTACATTGCCAAATGGGACACTTGCGAGAACATGCCCCGCTGCTCTTGGTGAGTGTTTTTTCTTCCTATCAATCCCTCCTGAACTCACTCTCATTAGGCTACTCTTTCGCGGGCGGAACCACGTAAGCCCATGTCGCTTCACCACTTCCCATCACATAATGCGTCCTCAGTGATGGCCCCGGCGCCTTCGACTTCATCCAAGGAGACAACTCCTCCCAATCTCAAAACCCCTTCTGGGAAGTTGTCAAAAGATTCATCACCCCAGCCCCATCAGAAGAACAGATCACGTGTCACTACCCCAAGCCCATATTACTGAATTCGGGATACAATCATCAGCCGTATGACTGGTCGCCCGGGACGGTGGATGTGCAGATGCTGAGGGTGGGGCAATTCGTGATTCTTGTGATGCCAGGGGAGTTGACCACTATGGCGGGGAGGAGGATGAGGTAGGTACACTCTGGACCTGGGTTCTTGAATTTTGGTCATTGATAGATGTGTTCTTTGTGTAGGAACGCACTGAGGGCGAAGCTGATTGCGGAGGGTGTCTTGGACGATAGGGCGTATGTGGTGATCGCGGGTCCTGCAAACACTTATGGACACTATATCACGACGCGCGAGGAGTATGGCGTGCAGAGATACGAAGGTGCTAGTACGATATTTGGACCTGGTGAGTCTGTTTTTCGAGCTTCTGGCAGGGCATGGTATTCTGACGGGTTGGTTGTGTTGCCAGCTACGCTCGACGCGTATATCCACAAGTACAGCGAGCTCGTTCCGTATCTCGGGGATAGTGCCACTGGGATGCCGTCGTCGATTGCAGCTCCTCCGGAGCAGACGAGTAAGGCGATCTCGTTGCAGGTGAGTCTACGATCGCACACAGCATGACGTATTGTTTAATGAGTAACCCGTGACTCACAGACCTCGGTGGTCGTTGACAATCCTCCCATCTTCAAGCACTTTGGAGACGTCCTCATTGATGTCGAGAGCAGCCCGTATCACGCGGGAGACACTGTAGCTGCGCGATTCGTCGGGGCTAACCCAAGGGTAAGCTATCGAAAATGAATTGCTTCCTTCTATTTTTGTTCTAACCCGACTATCAATACCACCAGAATAATCTAAGACTAGAAGGGACATTCCTCACGGTGGACAGGCAGACGAACACTGGGTGGGTGGTAGTGAGGACAGACTCACATCCTTCGACGACGTACCAGTGGAATCGGACGACCAAGGTACGTTTTTCGAACACAAGATATGCATATTGATCGACTGACGTCATTTTAGGTACTTGGCACGAGTACGGTCGATATACGATGGTGAGCATTCTCCAAACTAGTGGGCGCTACTGCAGATCTGTTGATCACTTGCACAGGACCATTGAGGATGGAACGCCGGCGGGGACGTACCGAATAACATACTACGGCGATTCAAAGTCGCTTTTGGGCAGTATATCGGCGTTCACGGGTGAATCCTCGAGTTTCGTTGTGGGATGAATTTCCATATCGGATTGAGGTGATGACTTTGTTTTGTTTTTGTTCTGGGACACTTTTTGTTTTACTGCTACTACTATGTCGCCATATTGGATTATAATAGCGTTATCAGCATATCTCGGGGTACCTCGTGTATCAAGGTCACCAAACGGTTTTAATGCACTAAAGCCCAAGACGGACGATCATAATCTATCTCACTAAATCTAACATCGTGCACGAAGAATTATCACCAGGAACAAACAAAATGAAATGCTGTGAATAAACCCTGCCAAGCAGCACACTTGTGACGAAGGACAAAAAACAATAACTGTGACAAGTACAGAGGGGGAAAGCGTGATGATTGTATACTAATAATACAGACGGTTGATGAAACCGATGGAATGCAGCCACAAGCTAGGTACGAACCAAAGCATGACTGACACGACACCGATGCCCGAGATGAAAAGCAGCACAAAAAAAAACCCGATCTCATCACAAGAGGAGAGGGCCTGTGGGCGCATTCACGATAGGACCCACTCAGAGAGTGGGTGCAAGCGCGATCACAGCACAAGCCGCCGTGCATCCACCCAGCGCCAAATTACACGCAGCCAACGCAGGGGGCACCGCAGGGAGTGCGACTCGGAATGTGAACCTTGCGCCGACGTAGCAAGCAACAACTACGCCATTGCATCCTGTACAAGCAGTCGAGTCGGCGGTGCGCAATGATTTAATTGGAACTAAGTTATTCGTCTGGCAAATACCGTAGGCGAGTGGACCCGCGACTACAGCCCGAGGGACTGCAGCGGCAGTGAAGAGTAGGGCAAGTGACTTGAAGTTCCTTTTCGCCCAGAGTGGTCAATAGCAGTGACTGAATGAGATGGTTAGTAACAGGAGAGCTTACTGAGTGTGTCTACCCAAGTATCACATGGGTGGGTGACATGAGAACGTAGCTCCATTCGAAAATATAATTATGTCGCCTCCCATGAGGCGTGAAACTAAGCAAGGTGACCCCGCTTCGCGTTAGCGGGGAAGCGAGATGATACACATGGTGATGTGACTCACGAAATGTAGGTCCATCATATCGTAACCGATAGTATGCACTAGTATTAGCAGTAGTGCACAGCGTTGCTTCATTTCTGACTTTGAATGATATTGCTAATCCACACCATGTCGATGTGACGGCACTCCGTCGAGCAGCCCAGTTTCCCACCAGAATCCATTTCGAAGGTCAAACAATCGTAAATTGTTCAGCGCGTGGTTCGATGAGCCACAGGTGACTAGTGACCTGTTGGAACTGCCGCTTGATGTGAGAATTAATGCCATTGGAAACGAGGAAGGCCGTCGATTATGAGCATGTCTAGATCCAAAGCCATTGCCAAACAACCGCATGAGCATCTGTAATTATCTGCCAAGGTTTGAACACGAATCAAAAAGGTAGCAGTAACCATGAGAAGAAGAAGAAAAGTCTAGCCACAGTGAGTCCGTAGCTAGCGCGAGATAGAAACGACGGGACATAAACTCTCGAATGCGTACAACCGACTGTGAGAAAAGGAAAGTCGACTTAAAACGAGAACAAGATACATAATAGTCCATGGTTATATATCTGGTGCTGTACACCGCTAAACCTGCGTCGCATTGGCATGCTACAACAAGGAAGCTGTTGTCATCACGCAAGAGGGGGCCTATGGGTTCTCGCCGTCAGATTCACGATTGCACTCACTCAAGAGTGGGTGCAAGCGCAATCGCGGCACAAGCTGCCATACACCCCCCAAGGCCCACATTGCATGCCATCAACGCAGGGGGTACTGCAGGGAGTGCGACTCCAAATGTAAACCCGGCACCGGCGTAGCAAGCGACAGCCAAGCCATTGCATCCTGTTGAAGAAGTTGAGTCAGCGGTGCACGTTAACGATGTGATTGGACATTACCTGTCTGACAAATGCCATAGGCAAGTGGACCTGCGACTACGACCTGAGGGACTGCAGCGGCAGTGAGGAGTAAGGCAAGAGATTTGAAGTTCATTGTAAGCGCAGAGAGTGGTCAATAGTAGTTGCTTGACTGAATGAGATGCGGATTAGCAACAGAAGAGCTGGTGGACTTGGCGAGTGTGTTTACTCGACTGTTATATGGGTGGATGACAAGAGATTGTAGCTCCGTTCAAAAATATAACTATGTCGCGTCCCGTGTAATTAACACGCGGCTAGTAAGCAAAGTGAACCTGTTTTGCGTTTGTGAGGGTCACCAAGCAATTGCAAGGTGATACACATGGTGGTGCGACTCACAAATAAGGTTCACTACTAGTATTTCATTTCTAACTTTCAATGGCACTGCCATGCTGCTGTATGTCGATTGTAATGTGTAAGGGCGCTCCGTGCAAGCAGTCGTCGAGCTGCTATCGGTGGTGATAAGGTAAGCAACCAATTGATTTATTTCTGACTTTAAAAAAACGTGAGCCGCGATGATAATGATGTCGGCGCTCCGCGCCCGCGAAGTCCAGAACTCCACAGGAAGGACCTAATTAAAGTCTTCCTTCAACCTTCCCGTATCTCGGAGTTCTTACTCACGACCCCATCATGGAACGGATCAAGTGATCGATAAGATAATTCCAATACCCACTACATGCTCGACATACTACGAGAACCCCTGCGTACGTCGTCTACAGTGCGATGCTCAGAAGTTTACTCACCACAGCCCGAAATTATCTCAAAGGCTGTGACTGCGCCATTGTCGAGTCTACCTCCTGCCTACTATGTTCTCAACTGGAAGGTCGCCTGTGTCTAGTTGCGTCGATCAATTTCTTTGTCTTTCTTGTCCAGTTTGAGAACATTATCAGACTGAACTCATGGTTGGGAGAACCTGGCCAGACACATCCATCTACCGCTGAGTTGCTTCCGTGTTCTTCTTCATGTCGCCATGCCCCCTGACTCCGATATGATTTTTGCGCGGTGTCCGCGACCCTGATAGTCCACCTGTCCCTTATCGTATTAATCCTCTATCTCAGGATAATTTTATCGATGACGTGAATCTTGCTGTACAATCTCCTGTGCCCTGCTCCCATCAAGTTCTAGAACACGACTATTGTGGGCTGTGTTGCACGTTTTGATATGTTGCGTCGTGCACTGGGGCCATTGTTGTGTATCGCACAATCATCGAAGTTCGCTTTGAGTGTTATACAGTGAACTCGTAGCTAGCGCGAAACAGGAGCAGCAAGACATAGGCTCTCGACTACTGTGAGAAGGGGAAAGATAAACAACTCGGAGAACGAGATACATAAGGTTGTATTTTCAGTGTTGTACACCCTTAAACATGCGTCGTGCTGTCATGCTACAACAAGGATGGCGTTCCATGACGCCCAAGGTAAAGTTCTATGTCAGGTTCTAACATAAGGATGGGCCCGAGTTTGAAACTGGATGCCCTGCATCTGGCGTAGAAAGAGCATCCTGTTCAAGAAGTCGAGTCAGTGGCACACATTCATGATGTGATAGTAGACCTTACCTGTCTTATAAATAACATAGACAAGCCCACCCACAACTACAATGGAAATTATTACACCTGCGGCAGCGAGGAGTGGGACACTGGATTCCACTGCGGCAGCGAGGGCATTTTCCAAGTTAGACTGATCCATAGTAGTGACTTGACTAAATGAGATGGTAATCGTAACTGGTGGACTTACCGAGTGCGTTTACTCGATTGTTATATGGGTGAGTGGCAAGACATCATAGCTCCGTTCCAAAATATCGCCTCGCGTGTAACATGCGGCGGTGAAACTAGACAAAGTGAATGTTACATTCGTCAAAACCGCTTATCATGAGCGATACAAAGCCTTTGCCAGACAAACACATGTTCATTTGTAATTCTCTGAATACGAATCACAAGACACTGATGCCGTGGAAGAAAAAGAATCGTAGAGTCTAGACACAGCGAGTCTGTAGCTAGCGCAAAATGGAAACGACGGGACATGGACTCTCCGAAATTGCGCGCAACCAGCTGTGAGAACAAGATACATAAGAGTCCATGGTCGAATTTTTGGCGCTGTGCACGATTGAACCTGCATCGTGCGAGGACATCCAGGAAATGGACACTCTGGGGCCAAAATCTGCGGCGGACTCTGGGGCCAAACTCTGGGGCATCTGTTTGTTTCAATCGGAGTTTCAACATCATGCGCCTGAGAATCACAGCCACCCCGCCGCAGTGAAGACATGATGAGGCGGGTACAGGCGTGCAGGAAGAGGGGCGGGAGGGCGGGCGAGAAACACAGGAAGGGCGGACTGGGCAGATAAAAGAGATGGGTATCAGGCATGGCATTGTCATAAAGTAGACTTGGGGCGGAGCATGAATGCAGTATTCCAACAACAGGCGGGCAGGCGGGAGACGTTGATCAGCAATGAGCGGGCTGGGCTTTGTCATCAAACGGTGTTTAAACTCAGAGTGTCCAAATCCCTGACATTCTGCATCGTGCTATCACGCTAGAACAAGGACGCCGTCCTCGTTACGCAAGAAAAGGCCTATGGATTCTGGTTGCCACATTCATGATTGCACTCACTCAGGGAGTGGGTGCAAACATAAGCGCAGCACAAGCCAACGTGCAACCCCCAAAGGCCACATTGCATGCTATCACCGCAGGACCTGCTAAAGGGGGTGCGACTACGAGCGTGAACCCGGCGCCGGCATAGCAAGTGACAACCAAGCCAATGCATCCTGTTCAAGAAGTTGAGTCAGCGGTGCACGTCAATGATGTGATTGGACCTTACCTGCCTGACAAATGGCATAGAGACACGGACCCGCAACTACGACCTGAGGGACTGCAGCGGCAGTAAGGAGTAAGGTCAGGGATTTCAGGTTCATTTTTTCCCCCAGAGAGTGGTCAATAGCAGTGGCTTGGTGGTTAATAACAGAAGAGCCTTGTGGACTTTTTGAGTGTGTTTACTCGACTGTTATATGGGTTCGTGATAAGATATCGTAGCTCTTCCTATCGAGTTGCTTCGCATGGCGTGGGACTAAGCACAGTGGACCCCGCTTTGCGTTAGCGGGGTCACAAGCGAGGTGATGTGACCCACGAAATGCCATAGGTCCATCATACCTAATCAATACTGCCACACAGCGTTGCTTCATTTCTGACTTTTGAATGGTCGTCGAGTTGTCCAGTTTCCTACCGAAATCCGTTTTGAAGGTCCAAATTGTTCAGTGTCAAAATCAATCAAAGGTGATAAGGCAAGCACCATTGATGTCTGACTTTGACCCTCGGTCTACTAGGCGCTCCACGCTCGCGCCTACTAGTCGACGACTCCACTGGAAGTTCCCCAAGGGTACTAATTGAAATCTTTCCTTCCTCGAAGTTGTCAACGAAGCTTCCATCCTTCTCGGTTCCAGATTCTAATGCGGAGGTCTCGCTGTGTGGCTTATACGACTGTCCTACCATCAATCTTTTGAAATTCTTATCTCCTACGGAGGGATCCGTCTATCGCCCCATCCTAGAACGTGCTGGAAGTTACATAGGCGTCCTAGGCTGTCTTATTACAGAGATTGACAACCGTCCGTATATATATAGCCACGAGTATCGTCATAGATCGAGAAACATCAATTACCTGTAATTATAGAAAGGAGATGACATGATATCCATGCCAGTCCGCGCCGGTATACTATGCAATGCTACTTGGTATCTACGATAGGTGACGCGTTTCGCGAACGCATCATTCAGGCTACAAGACTTGTTGTTGTGGTCCAACGAGCCGCTCTTCATCAGTTCATGCACAAGTCGAGCGCATGGAGAACAACCACGAGCACATATGAATACAAAACATGTGCCAGACACATGATGTTTATTTGTAATTTTCTGCCAAAGTTTGAATACGAATCACAACATACTGATTATCGCCATGAAAAGAAAAAAAGAATCATAGCCTAGACACAGGGAGTCTGTAGCTAGCGCGAAATAGAGATTCTCCGAAAATGCATGCAACCGGCTGTAAGAAAAGGAAAGACAAACGGGAACAAGGTACATAAAAGACCATAGTTGCATTACTGGTGCTGTACACCGCTAAACTTGCATCGTGTCGTCATACTACAACAAGGATGCCGTTCTCATTACACAGGAAGGGGCCTGTGGGTTCTCATCGCCGCATTCACGATTGCACCCACTCAGGGAGTGGGTGTAAGCGCAACCACGGCACAAGCCGCCATACACCCCCCAAGGGCCGCATTGCACGCAAGCAGCACAGGAGGTGCTGCAGGGAGTGCGACCCCAAATGTGAACCCGGCACCGGCGTAGCAAGCGACAGCCAGGCCATTGCATCCTGTCAAGAAGTCGAGTCAGCAGTGCATCTTGATGATGTGGTTGGTCTCACCTGTCTGACAAATAGCGTAGGCAAGCGGACCTGCGACTACGACCTGAGGGATTGCGGTAGCAGTGAGGAGTAGGGCGAGGGATCTTAAGTTCATCTCGACAGATAGCGGTGAGTTCAAAGTTCGACTGAATAAGTTGGTGGTTTGTATCAGGTGAGTCTTAGTATAACCCGTGGATGTGTTCATCCAACTATATAGGTGGGGGACATGGAGGTCGTAGCTCCGTTTCAAACATCTCACCTCACGATTTACATGCAACTGTGATGTGTGCAAAGGAGGTGATAAGGTGAGCACCATCGGCATGGCCTCTAGAATGTGCCAACAAGGTGCGACTCACGAAATGTGGGTCCATCATCTAATATATCTGCCGCGTTGTCCGCGCTCGCGACTTCAGTGGAAATTCGAATCACAACTGCAAGGGTCCTAATTCAAATATACAATCAGGCTCCTTCCTCACTGTGATGGAGATGATATCAACCTTTGATCAACCTTCCCATCCATCTCGGTTTCACATTCTCAAGCGAAGTTCTTGCTCATGACTGCCCCATATTTCAAACTCCGAACGCTCTTCACATCAGATGTTGTTGTCGTGCCCGTATGTAGAACGAATCAAGTGATTGTTGAGATCTCTCGCGCATAGGTTGAAATTACATGCGCGTCCTAGGATGTCTGATGTACAGATATTAACAGTCACCCTAGCCACATGTATCAAGATAGATCAATCACCTGTAATTGCGGAAGGGAGATGATATGATATCCGTGCAGTCCGCGCCAGTATGGGAAGATGATTATGCACCTTCAGGAATATGCATGAAAGTCCGATATTCGAGGGCGGTTGGGCCTATGCGCTCCGCGGCCCAAAATTTCCATGACATTCTGCCATCGGAAAGTGATCCGAGTCCGTCGAGCAAAGAATACAATCAAGTTGCGAAGTTATCGATCCTGCGGATTTCTTAACAATGAATCGATGATAATAGGAAAATATGACCTTTTCAAAGGGGATGCAACGAAATGAGAAGTCGAGCAGTAGAGAAGTCGTGAGTCCTCCGGCGAGTAGGAATGGCGGGAAGTGCATGGATCAACTTGAGTCTGATCGCCACTCGTTCAAATCCGATTCACGTGAAACGCTTTGTATCGTGGTGCAGCTTGGGACCATGTATACCGGTGCTTTAACTTCAAATACTGCGGTGCTATGCCGATTCATACAATTTTTCGGTCAGTCATTACTCGTACAATACAGCCAGTGTCAGCGACTTCCGTCAGCTACCATCATGGTCAGAAAGTCTATAAATGAAGCAAGCTCCAGGCGCACCTTTTCATGCCACCCCAAGAGCACGCTACCACTCACATCACCCCAGCCCGGCATCCCCATACCCTTGTAAAGATACTTCATCAATGTGTCCTGAGCATCCTGGGAGAGCGCTTTCACGACACTGAGTATCTCCGACGATTTCGTGCTATTCAGTATTAAAACAACGGTCTGCAACGTCAGGTTCTTGCGCAAATGTCAGCGTATTGGCGAGATGTGGGCAACAGAATCACTTTAGCTTCCTCGACATTTGGCCCGTAAGGTATGCTGTCCAGCGCAATTCCCAGGGACCCTGGTATGTCTCCCCTGCGCGAATGGGTAGTACTTAGGTTAGATCATGTGCGAGATGAAACTGTACCTGGCTAATGTGCTCCGGACTGCTGCCTGCTTCTGTTCGCATCACTCAAGACCTGAGTGGGATCCCGTGTATCTGGCTCGCAAAGCTCGCCCTCCCGTAGGACATCCTCGTCATATGCATCGATGTCGATCTTTCTAAAAGACATGGTCGTGGGAAAACCAGCCCTTCTCGTCCGTTCATACAAGCCTGGGACGTTGGAACCTCTGCAAGACTTATCGACAGTCTCGCATGTGGAACCTACTCCAGCAATACCATTCGTGCGTAACACCGTCGCCTGATCAAACCTTCACGCTGATTCGATTTTTAGCAAGTCCCAAAACTGATGGGCCAACAGCTCCTAGATGTGATTCTGCGACGCCATCTGGAGAAGTTCTCTTGTTTTGTTGAGATGGGCACCGAACTGTGCTCATTCGAACAGTCCGATGAGGGTGTCACTACTATTCTAGTAAAGAACGGCGTATCAGAGACTTCTGATACTAAGTGGATCATCGGTGCTGATGGTGCTAAAAGTGAGGCGCAGTTTCATGCACCGGGATGAACGAAACTGAAGGTGGCTTTACAGGTATCGTATGCAAGTAACTTGGGCTCACGTTTCTTGGCGGGACTAGAGACGGTACCCGGGTTGTGACTGGAGATATCCGTTTGACGGGTGTTGGCCTCAATAGAGTGGTACGCCCTTGTTCTACAAATTCGATCAAAAGCTGTTCTAATCCAGTCTTGAAGCATTGGCACCGATTTAGAAACTTTCTTGAACGAGGGTGTGTTTAATGAAGGCTTGGAGACGTATGTTGATGATATCGAAGGGTCTCATTACGCCCAACAGACGAAATTGGCAATGACGGCTAGCAATTTTTCCTCTTCGGCCGCGAACTCGACCTAATGAAGATTGCTCAGAGCGAAGAGCTTGTCTTCGAGACCATCGCATCGCTAATACCAACAGAGATCACATCCAACAAGGTGGTTTGGATGAGCGACTTCCGGTGCGCTTTGTATTTCTATCTGTCTTTGTTGATGCACACTCACCGGTTCGTTCCAGGGCCAATATGCGGATGGTGAATAAGTTTGGCGAAGGTCGAGTGTTCTTTGCGGGCGGTATGTGATTTTGTTTAACATATCTGTGGGGGTGCTCATGCATGTCGTCTCAGATGCTGCTCAGTATGTCTATCTTTGACCATCTTCTCACAAACTGCTGCTGACATATTCAAGTATCCACAGCCCAGCGGGTGGTCAGGTATGGTTGATCCGTTGTTGCTAATATTCACACATTTATCTATGAACAAGGACTTAATTCAGGTGTACAAGATGCAGTGAGCCAGGCAGATGTAGTATGTGTGTTACAACTGACCGCGCCCTACACCAGTTCAATCTAGGATGAAAACCTGCGCTTGCTGAGAAAGGGATCGCCAACAAATCTCTTCTTGAGACATACAGTGCCGAGCGTCTTCCTGTGATCTCAGAGATGCTCGAGGTTACCACCTCGATTCTCGATAGGACAATAATGTCTGGGGACATCAGCCGGGCGAAGTCCCATCTTCTACATACTTGGCATCAACTGCCGATTCAGCACCATCGTACTCGATGAATTTGTGGCTTCAGTGAAGCCTGTCAACGTATATGGAGTGCTTGACGAGGGGAATCTGGAGGCTGGGGACAGGGTACCTGATGCATCCAATATGCTGCAGGTGGGGCGCTAGAGCCTGACGTGACAACGCTTTTTGGTTTGCACAGACCCTGGTACCACACAATACTTGTATTTGCATCGAGTCTCGTTGATGTTACTCCGATATTGGGTGCACTGGAGGCATACGACAAAAGTGTCGTACGATCGATCGGCAGTCGTCCTGCCATCATCGGCATCAGTGACGCCTGTCGCATCTCCTGTTGGCCTCGTTCTTGTTGATCGAGAGGGCTATGCTTATTCGGCCTACATCGTAGAAGTTGGCCAGACGAAAGTGTTTGTGATACGGCCGGACGGAGTGATTGGGGCGATAGTTCATGGTGTAGAAGATATTTTTCGATACGTGGCCTCGACGTTCATTAATCATTTTTGGCCTTTGACTTTACAAGTACAACTGATTCCTGTATACCTCATTCAATGTCGTAACTGAAAATGAGAAAATGAAAATGTTCACGATTGTTGACGATATACGCTACCAACTCCGGAGGCGGAGCTTCTTTACCTTTTTCTACTAATTCGTATCACATCTTGGCACCTTCCACATGCATATGTTGTTCTCACCAGTACTGATGCTCGCTGGTAGCTTCCTTCGTCTCAGACTTCCTACTTATGTGTTTTTCCTGCACGTAGTTTCACCTCAGCGTCGTCTATCACGTCCCGCTGAGATCTTGTTCTAGCTTCATACAGAAACCGATACCGATACAACAGAACCACAAATGAAGACGCGACAGCGCCGACACTCATTGGAGTATCTATATTGTCTTGTTACACTTCAATTTCACTTGTTGTACTATATATTGAAGTGCTCGAGTGACTGTCTTAATTAATGGCATCCAAGGGCGGCCGCCGCCAAGTTGTGGCGCGAGCTTCCAATCTGTTAGTTCCAGCTGACAGTGCTACGCATTAGGAATGGCATAAAAGCCACAGCAAGGAAGAAAAGATCATCTTGCAATTCGTGCAATGTCCTCTCCCAAAGTCTGGTTCAGTAAGCCCCTTCCCGCTCACATGCTGGCTGATACTAAGCATCATGTACAGTAACGGGGACGTCCTCAGGATTTGGAAGACTCATGACAGAGTATGCCCTCGACAAAGGAGACATCGTAGTAGCAACCCTCCGCAAACCACAAGTCCTATCCGATCTTGCAGCCCGATACCCAGCAGACAAGCTCCTCGTACTCAAAGTCGACGTCACAAAGCAGGAAGACATCGATGAAGCATTCGCGCGTACGCGTTCAGCGTTCGGACGGCTGGACGTAGTGTTCAACAATGCCGGATATTCGATTCTCACAGAAATCGAAGGCACGCCCGTTCATAAAGCGCGCGAGCTTTTCGAGACAAATTTTTGGGGCGCGACGAACGTTAGTCGTGCTGCAGTGAAGTTTTTTAGAGAGGTGAATGAACGGGGCAAGGGGGGGACCATTCTTCAAATCAGTTCGATTGGTGGGTTTCATGCCTTTCCTCAAAACGGTTATTATGCTGCGACGTGAGTATGGTCTACATGTGGTGTTGATTGAGATGATACTTATGTGTTTGCAGTAAACATGGTAGGAATATTAGCATAGACGGTGTTCATGACTGATTGGCTGTGCAGCACTAGAAGGCTTCACGGACAGCCTCGAGAGAGAGCTACCGCCTTCATGGAACATAAAGGCATGAACCCTCACAGACCAATAGATTAATACTCACGACAAGAACCAGATCTGCATCATTGAACCTGGCGTGTTCCACACAGACGTCTTGAGCAAGGCAGAGGTGTTACCACAGCATCCAGCATATACCGATGAGTCCTTTGAGACTTCAGTAATACGTCGTAAGCTGGTCGGCGCGGTACTCGAAGGAGATGCAGATAAATTCACGCGGACCGTTTATGAGGTCGTACAAGGAGGAAATATACCAAAGCGGTTGCCGATGGGGTTGGATGCGATCGAGTTGTTGAATGGCAAGATCGAGTCATTGAAGGCGACTGTGGCTGAGACGAAGGGGTTGTCGGTGGATTTGAAGAGAGATGGTGGGGGAATTGGGATTTTGTGAGGTGCATGAGTTCTCTGATGAATAAGTGTCATACCGCCCAAGATACTGTAAAGGTTTGAGTCGAGTGTACCGCTACTGTTAGGGTGTACACACGTTTTGATTGTCTTTATGATCCGAGATAGGGCTCCGTGAAAAACTACGAGGTTAAAAACACTCTGGGTTTTTAACGTGTTTTTAACATGTTAAAAACATGTCAAGAACGGAGGTCGATATTCAGGCCCAGTGAGAACCGGCCCTCACCGTATCGACGGAAAACGACGGGTATATTTACAAATATTGTCAAAGCTACGCAAATCGTGAATTTAACATATTATCGAGAAAGTTGACACATGTTGTGTTGATCAAACAAAGCAAACACATCATTTTGTCAATGTCTTGCACATTTGCAGACATATCATAGATCAATCAATCAACCGAGATGACGCGAACACAGCGAAATTCGAATCACTTGTTTGTGTTACTTTTAACTTGGTAAATGTACGTGTCCTTACTTTCAACAACTACTACCACTAATACTACGATGGCTTCATCTCAGGCTGATCTGGTTGACTGCTCTGACAGCGTAGATGTCCACGACAATGTTATCGTTATGGAGGTGGACAATCTCCTTGTAGGATGGCTGGCATACGAAATAAAATTCACGCCTAAAAAACCAGGCCCCATGGTAAGCAGACCGATATCCAGTTGGTTATATGCTAACAATTTCGCTATAGAAACTCATCATTCGTCTTAAAGACGCTGTCAAACTCATGCATGTCGAAGAATCTACTGACAGTGAAGCTGAATTATTGTTTCCAAGCAACGGACGGAAGAGGGCTCGCAAGAACAAGAAAGTCAAGATGTAAGTATTTCGAATGTTCTCATTCCATGTACCTACTAACTTAAGTCACCCGAAGCGCAGTACGCTGAAAATGGAACCTTCCCTTTCCTTGAGGATACAGATGGCGACCCAGTCCAAAAGTTCGAGGTATCTCGCATCACAAAGAGTTTGCGAAGCTGCTGGGCTGCCTTAAAGCAAGAGAACCGAGCTCCCGATACCTGGGGCAAGGCCGGAAACAAGATTCTCGACGAAGTTGCAGAGGAGATGGCACGTTTGCACCCTATTCTTGCCTTATGCGAAAATGGATGGAAGGTACATGCGATTGCAACAGAACGGTATCCCTCATGGACGGCTACACACCTGGACAAAAAAAAAGGAAGGTTCACAACACAGGATTCGATGATCATGAAACATCAAAATGGCGGAAAGTATCTGGGTCTGCCGAGTCTGGATCTGATGCATCGAAGTCTCGAATCACTGGCGATGAGTCTACTACCCTCTCCGAGTCTCAGGCGAAACAGGATACACCAGTGCTGGAAGACATTACCACGACTCCCATCCTCAATTTGCAGAATGGTTCAAAAAGCGATATTGGCACTTCTGAGCAGGAGCAGCAGTTTAACGATACGCAACAGCCACCATCTATTGAAGCATCGACTCCTTCCCCGCAGCCTGGGCCTGTGTCTCTTCCTGTGCCCCGTGTTTCACTAACTCAGATTACTACCCATGACACGAGCAACTCTCCAGAAGCTTCATCCCATGCAAACATGGCAGGTACCACCTCTCAAGACTGTCTCAATCATAGCAACGACACTGTCAACACAAGCACTGGTATTACTGAGGGCACAGAAACAACTGTAGAAGTAACATATGGAACCATGGTAAGTCGCCAACCTGTGCTTGAATTATGTTCACAAATACTGACAGTATTGTACTAGACCTCCTTCCCTGTAATCAAGAACCCTCTGTAAGTCTTTTAAAACCTTGTTCCCACTGGCACTGACTTGGGTACTACATGCAGTGCGAAGCTTGCTGAGCGAAAACGCGAATCAACTGTCCCCAATCCTGCAGTGACCCCGTGCGACGTGCCTGCCTCGTTGTCTGCACCCATGCTGCCACCTAAGGACATGCCTGTACCCCCTGCATCAGCTGCTGTCGAGTCGGCGGCAAGTGCTAAAAAATTTCAACCCGGTACATCGAAGAATGGAAGGTATGTCACGTATCTATCTAGAACACTGTATCAACTTTTGACCTGGAATCTTGGACTTAGGTCACTCTGTGCACACCAATGGTTGAAGCAGATCGCTGCAAATGGCTCGTCGGCCAATTTCAGGATTTACTGGTCTGGCCTGACGAAAGAGAAGCAGGTGGTACGTACTCCTGTGCTACATGTTTCACATCATTGATTTATGTCTTGCAGGCTTATGAATCCGACGCGCTGAAGCTGGTAATGGACTCAACTAAATGCGCACTCATCCTGATACAGCTGTTTACTTTTTTTCTCAGGTCAAGGACAATATATGGAACGGCAATACAGTCGACATCATCAGCAAGATCTCTTCCGGCACTCTATACTAGTTGGCATCCACCATGGGTACAGAGGTTGGTGGGCTGCAGGCGAGGACCAGGTGGACAGGCTGCAGCAGGCAGTATAGCTATCGATATTTCATTTTTGCACTGTCATTCGTTTGTTCTCGCAATGCATATCAGTGTCGTTTTCATGCGTTTTTTTGTGCGGTACAACTACAGTTAAGAATCTACGACAATCAACGGAAATATCATATGCAAGAATTGGTGCGAATCTGTGAGATCTCCGTCGAACAGCGTTGCTAGAAAATCGACTATAAGTCCCATTCTCTACGCTCATCTACGGAAATATTCTGTTTCTGGATCGTCAATATTTCAGCCGTTTTCCGTCAATATGGTGAGGGCCGGTTCTCACTGGGATTCAGGTGTCAAATACCTGTCAATAACCCTAAATATTGTATGTATCATGTATCTGATGCCTTCTGAACAAGTCATGTCATACTTTGACATTCAAGTGGCCGAAAATCCTGAAATATCAAAAAAGTAGAATAATTTGAGCCCCCCATTGAATGCAAGCACACTACCACCCATGAGTTTCTTCACCACCATTGCCAACAATGATTCACAGCTCAAGCACCTACGAGCTATGCTCACTCACCTCCCAGACTGCATCCCTCTGGGTAACTTCAGGTATCACTTTGAGAACTTCGCACCTGATCCAGAGAAAGTTGAGCTATACAGCAGTGCAGAAGCAGCACTGAATAATGTGTTAGAAGTCACCTTTGCACCAAAGGGCTGCAAGGATGAGTCTGCACCTTGTCCATTTGCATATTTTTCATATTACAGCTCTTTGCATAATTATGCGGAAACGCAAAAGTTGAATTTGCGTGTCGGAAATGCCCGAGGTAGGACCCCATAAGCACCATCTGAGCGAGAACACACTGCAGAGTCCAGACCAATCCCAGTCCAAGGCAGACAGTAGAACATTGTGCTTCCAGTGATCGCTTCATGTGCTTCCATATCCCCTGAGATACCTCAGTTTGAGACTGTCTTTGTTGATACATACATGAAAAACTTGACAGAACACAATGACAAAAGGATGTGAAATCTACAAAGATCAAAGAAGTTGTTTTTCTTGTCTCCACACTCAGTTACCTTGACTTCCTTACTACAACTATGCTTGCAAAGCATGATAAATCACTCTATAAGGTCATCTATACTGAGGTTGCAACGTTGACTATGTCATAGGTCCATGACTCATGCATGTTGGGATGAGGTGGAAGTCAGCCTGATAGTTTTGTATACTAGTGTCTTCTTGATACCAAGCAAATGATAAACACTTGTGACAGAATGGCCACGTTGGTGTAAAACAGGAACACAAGCTTTTAAAATTTTAGATCTAGTGATGAGACGGTGTGCGGTGGCATGCTGGAGCATGAATGAGTGCACAATTGAGCCAAAGACTTATGGGGTCCTACCTCGGGCATTTCCGAGATGCAAATTCAACTTTTGCGTTGAAGGTACAACAATTCAGATGGTGAGTCTGAACAATGTGTTGGGTCTTGCAGAACCTAGCTGCTATTCGACCCTAAAGGGTTTCTGGACCAGGCTCAAGGCTCAGAGGAGAGGAAATACCATAAAAACTTGCTGATCTCTCAGACTCATACTGGTAACTGGTGAAAAGATTGCTTGATTATGTAAGCTACAAAAGTGCCAACATAAGGTAAGGTAAAAACAGTCTCTACAAGCCCAACCAGAAATGAATCCCTACAGCGTTTCCGCATAATTATGCAAAGAGCTGTAATGGGTTTCAAAGTAAAGTCTAACAAGGTCAAAGTAAGGTATACTTGTTCAAACTTTGCGAACACTGCGGCAATATTCGAGCTCCGCATGAAATATTCATGTCAGTGATCAATCTGATTATAGAATGTTTCGAATAGATAATTGATAAGCCTATAGCTTGATCCTTCACGGTGTCACCCTTCATCTTTCATCCTGATGCACATTTCAGAACGTAAACGGGTACTACAGGCTCTCCGAGAAACCAACCAGAGCATGCAGCTTGCTCGATACCTTGAACTAATAGATATGTTAATGGACAATGACTCATCAAGTGAGATCACCGGCGAGTCTGAATCTGACGACGAGGCAGAATTAGAGTCTAGCTCTGACTCTGGCTCTGAGTCTGATATATCATCGAACATCAGCATGGAATCCATTTCCTCCATAAGTTCTACCAACTCTTTTGATACTTGGATGTCCCTCGACTCCATCTGGGATGAAATTATGCCGTTGTAGAAGAGGAATGGGAAGTGGGTGAATATAGGTAGTATGAGATAACTCAAGTAGTCCTTGGTGAGCGAGATATACATCGGCCCAAGGGGATTGCTACTGAGAAGGTTCCTCTAGGTGTATAAAACGGAGGGAAACACTGAACCAGGCGCTTGGTCAAGCCTGGTTAGGCGCGCGACGATGAGCGAAGTGCGAGCGAGCGAAAGCGACGTGAAGCGCCGATGAGCGATAGCGGCCGACAATAGATATCGACGCACGACTTATAACGGAAGCGCGTGCTTTAAGCGGAAGTGGTGCGCGTGCGGGTGGTGGAGTGCAGCGACTCTCAATGAGTCAGAATACTAATGGACAGAGTTTCTAGTAGTGTATGGCGGCGGCGCTCATATTGTACTTAGATACTTTTGAGTTTTTAGAGGTTAACTTAGACTTATAGTCCAATGATGTGTGGGTAGAAAAAGATCCCCATTACACGATTTATACGCGTCTATATATACTAAGTAATGATAAGCGCTGTCAAGTGTTAAAGCGAACTGAGAAGCGAAGTGGACGCGAGATAATATGTAATAAAGGGTCCATAACGGAAAACATACGAAATATGGCCATAAGCGCTGGAGATATGTTAGAATCAATGAAAATAGAATCGGAATACGCACTGATGAACCGAACGGACATGGAATAGATGGACGGAGGACGTGCGACGGAACTGAGGATGCACGCGCCAATGCGCGACTAAGGAGCGACCGGAGTGCTGGTGCTTGCAACCGGCCGATGATGCGCTTGGGCGCGCTGTGTGAGATATGAGTCGCGCTATGTTGGGAAGTGATAGTAACAATGGGATTTTAGATCCCTGCAAGGCCACAGAGATATTAGTCTCTACACCGTCCTCCAATTCCACAGACGCCTCCGGGCCTGTATTCAGTAGCCAAGTCTTTATCGAGTTCAGTGACACAATACAAGCACTTGAAGATGAAGTTGAAAAAGCACGTACTCTCATTTCTCGGCCCAAAGCCACACATGCACCGCAGCTCCATCTACTTGACAAGTGGAGATTGGAAAATCCTTGGAGGTTTCATCGCAAACTCCGAGTCGACCCCGACGTTTTCATTGAACTCGTCAATAAAATCATCCATCATCCGGTTTTCTACAATAATTCTAACAACACACAATTACCTGTTCCTATTCAGCTGGCGATTTTTTTGAATGGTGCCGGCCACTATGGAAATGTGGCAACAGCTGAAGATATGGGTGACTGGGCAGGTGTTTCGGTCAGGACGGTGTATAACTGCTACCGGCGTGTTATGGTGGCAATCCTGCAGCACCATGACAATGTTATTCACTTCGACCCGCTGGAGGCTAAGGATCAAATTGAGATAGATTGTGCGAAGGACTGGGTAGAAGAGTGTACATGTCTGGAATGGCGTGGCGGAATTTTGTGTGTTGACAGCACACCCTTCAATATTTACCAGAAGCCCGGATGGCACGGAGAAGGTTTCTTTGACAGAAAATCGAATTACTCACTGTCAGCACAGGTAAGTGATCAAGAAACAAAATTGAAAATTCAATACTAACCTTACATTAGATTGTGATTATGCCTCACAACCTTCGTATCGTTGACTATGTGATAGGGGTCCCAGGAAGTCTCCATGACGCCAATGCCTTCTCAAGAACACGAATTGCACGACATCCTGAAAGTTTTTTGGGAGCAGATGAGTGGATCTGGGCTGACTCGGCTTACGCATCACGTATGTGGTGTGTTGTCCCTTTTAAACGCCCTGCAGCTGGTGGTCTGAGGCCCAATCAAAAAAAAATTAATACACACCTGTCGAAAGTAAGTTATTGAGCGCACAGAGACCTGCATATATGCTCATACCTAAAATGAAGGTACGTGTTCGTTCGGAACATTGCTATGGTTCCCTCAAGGGACGGTGTAGAGACTCATGCCTCTCATGGCATGATATGGCAGTTCCCACCAAGGAGTACATAGCACGAACTTGTAGTGTCACTCCATGCGCTACCTGCAGCTATCCCTATATGAGGCGCAACTTTCCCGCGCAACGCGCGCCATGTGCGCACCATTCCCGCGCTTGAGCACCCTATAGCGCCAGCCATCCAGAAGCATCCATCCACTGTCCACCAAACCCTCTAGTGCGTATATGTCCATTTCTTTTATTAGCATATCATTCCACCTCTATTTTTATAATGGACCCTTACTTATATATATCTTTACATACCTACTCGGTAGCGCTTCGGCTCCGCATGACCGCGCTTAGGCGCACTATATAAGCGCCAGCAGTACATACTATTACTTACTTTTCACTTACTTTCCCTTTAACTTACTAGTTACCACCCACCATTTTACTTAGCAGAACATAGTAGAAGTCTATTTGTCTACACTTTGCATCTCTCTTCTCTTATATTGCATCATATTAGCACTTGAGTCTAACTTCTCTATTATTTCTGCATACGCGCGCGCGCTTTCCCGCGCTATCCCGCGCCTTCGTGCCTTGCGCGCACCTGCGCTTTCTCATGCCTCACCTCAGCGCGTACCTCTAGATCTTCGCTGCACCCGCTTCCCTTTAGGGTCGAACGCGCTTGTCTCCTCAAGTAACGCAGACTAGGCAACGCATGACCTACAACATTTTTTTAGATACAGTCAGGAGCTTCATTTGTTCCTCTCAGTATCGTTGTTTCTACAACGGTTCCAATCACTTCGTGAGCTTAGGTTTCAAATACAATCACAAAAAGACCTCAACTATGCAAACATGTGGACCTGTTGTTGCCTTATTCTTCACAACCTCATTATCGAGATCGAGGAGGAGCTAGGAAAGAAAAGTACCAATCCACACTTTTGCAAGGAGTCACAAGGGCAAGGAGATAGAGACATAGATGAGGAAGCCGGTGGTGGTGATGAGGGGTTTATCAGAACAGATGGCCAAATTTTTCGGAACACATTGATGGGTTGCTTGCTTCGTAGCAGAGTTTAGATGCGGTGCACATCGAGAACGAGTCTGAAAGATAACATGTAGTCATAGTACAGCATTGCAAGTACCAAGGATATAATTAGCAAGAATAACGAGCATTGAAGATGAAAACAGACACAGGTACAGACATGAACAAGCACAAGATCAATTGGCGTCATCATCAGTAGTACCGTCCCTACCAAAACGCTCCATTGCCAAGTGACGATACTTGGCCTCTTCAAGTCTGATCTCTAACTCCAGCTGCCTTGTCTTGTCCTCAGACATGGCACGTTCATGACTATGAGTAGCAATGAATCTGCGTGCATCATGTTCATGCTCAGCGTGAGCTTCACGGGCCTTTAACTCCTTTGAAAACTTAGCATAGTCAAACTTCATCCGCTTGCTCGAGGCTTTGGAATCCGACTTATCCTGCATGTGGAGTAGAAGTGAGTCAGAGGCATCAGTTAGCTTCTTCGTAACCTCTGCTCCTAAATCATGTGGCCGCTTGCGAGATTCTGATGCTGAACGAGTATTAGACCCAGATGCTGATGGACGGTGAGAGGTGGCTGGACTTCGACCACGTAGGCCACTGCAACTAGCTTTATGAGAGTGCATAGTCAACGACTTCATCACATCCTCAATCCCCTCCGAGTCACCACCAGAAGACTCAGGTTGACACTCCATGTCGGTGAAGAAGTTGTCCTTGTTAGCATGTGGAGGTGGAGAGTCTGGTGACACTGCGTGTGAAGGAACCTGAGTAGTATGTCTTTGTGGCGAGTCCAGTGAGATATCCAGAGGCCGATTGGTGTTAGTTGGTCGAGCCACAGCAGGATATGAAGGTGAAGGCTGTAGTGATCGAGGCGAAGATTTAAGGGGGGCAATGGTGATGTTGTCGAACTTGGTGAATCTAATGACGATAAATTGGTGACTGAAATTTGAGGTGATGGGATGCAAGAAGAGGTACGATGCTGCAAAAACGAGGGCTTGTTCGAATGGCTGAGGTCACTGTAGAGGTCATCATCACTTTCAATTGGTGGACATGAAGCTCCAGCAAGTGTTTCCCCCCCACCAAGTGGTTGTTCGAGAATTTCTCCTGGCTCTAGATCTTCATCATCAAAATCCATCTCACCACTACCCTTATCTTCATTGTGCGGAGCTCCAGTAAAAAATTCGAGTGCCTCGCTGGCAAAATCTTGACCAGGGTCTGCTGTCGAAAATGCTGTATTGTAGGATGGATTCGTCCTCCACCATCCATGGAGGTCAGACCACCATGGAAATTGCAGAAGAAGCTGAGCTAGCGCCAGATCTCAGGACTTCATTAACAAACAGTGAAAGAATGCATGTACCAACAAGATTTTTAGTACGAGGGTCTGCATCCAGCTCCTCGACAGACTTGACTCCAGCCCCTGTTTGGCCAAGGCCTTTGTTGACAGCATTGTACTTTTTTCGAAGCCTAAAAAATCTAGTCAATCACGCTGTAGAGAATCATGCCTCTCATGGCATGATATGAGAGTTTTCCACTTACTTTTCACTTACTTTCCCTTGAACTTACTAGTTACCACCCACCATTTTACTTAGCAGAACATAGTAGAAGTCTATTTGTCTACACTTCGCATCTCTCTTCTCTTATATTGCATCATATTATCACTTAAGTCTAACCTCTCTATTGTTTCCGCACGCACGCGTGCTTTCCCGCGCTTCGCGCTAATACACGCGCGCATTCCCGCGCCTTCGTGCCTTGCGCGCACCTGCGCTTTCTCGCGCCTCACTTCAGCGCGTACCTCTAGATCTTCGCTGCACCCACTTCCCTTTAGGGTCGAACGCGCTTGTCTCCTCAAGTAATGCAGACTAGGCAATGCACGACCTACAACATTTTTTAGATACAGTTTGGAGCACCATTTGTTCCTCTCTGTATTGTTGTTTCTACAATGCCACTAGATCCAGAACCAAATGATAGTAGACATACAAGATGAACCGACTTTCAACAGGTTTGATGAAGCTAAGTGGGTGCTCCTCATATAATGCACGAATGGTTGGATCTTCATCGTTGGTAAAAATCGCAGCAGCCAGCTGCTGGATATGGTTTTTCTTCTGGGTGGACATCTGCTGTCGTGGTCGACCCTCTTCCTTTGCATCTTTGGCTGAGTCAGAAAACAGCTTGATCCGAGCTTCATCATTGGCCTTGCACCACTCAATAAGGCGAGAGGTGCGTGCTGAGTACCGTTTCTCCCAGTAGATTGCTGGGATCTTTGTATTTGGTGTTACTTTCATGTTGGAGGGTTGGGGGGACTGCGAGGAAGCTGGGGCTGATCCACGGCTGGCACGACCTCGAGCTCTAGTATTACTGACTTCCTGTCCATGGATGTTTGTGCCTCGTGCAGACATAGAGGTTGATTATAGTGGTAGACAGCGGTGACGATGACAGCAGTGCGGCATGCCGTCAGAGTTTCTTTGTTTGCATGTTTGGCTGCATCATGCATGTTTCGGCTACTAGCTGAAACATGCAGCCAACACTTTGAAACCCATTATTGTATTGGGTTTGGGTGGCTCCCATTGTGGTATGTGGGGAAATGGCCAGAAAATTGTATAATGTATAATGTATAGTGTTTGATGGTTCAATATACAGTATGACACCTGGTTTACTAAGGCCCGGGGTGGTCGGAGATCCTGCAAGTAGCATGAAAATTTTTCATTAATGAACATCTAGTACTGACTCAATGGTGTGTAGCACCAAAAAACGTCAGCCACGTCCTAAGCCTGGCCCATACAAGCCTCGGAAGCCAATGACATCTCATGGGAAAGATGCCACTGCACCTAAAACCTCCTAAAACTATACACTGTCAAAATCTTACACTAAAGGACTGGATTGCCATCTTTCGATACATTGATGCTCATCCAGACTTACCACAAGAGTGCGTGGTTCAGTACTTCAAGACGAAGCCACAGGATGCACTTGAATTTACACAGGCAACTCTATCTCGAAAACTAAAGGATCGTCAACAATTTGAGCAATGAGTCAATTCTCACCCAAATGCTCTTTTGAGCAAGCGGCCCCGAGTTGTTACTCGCCCTGATGTTGAAGACACGTTCTGGAACATGAAGTAGACTAGATACCGACGACTCGTTGAATACATGCGATGATGCTGTGACCATGGGAACTATTCCATCCTGTATATTTTTCATAGTGTATAGAGAAAGGTGGCTCCCGTCACTATACGTTATGAGCAAGTGTACTGTACTTGTCTAAGGCTATCTGAACTTTGAAGTGTTTCACAAATGCAACATTCAGGCTACAAAACTCGTCATCGTCATTATGTAAATAAATCGCTCTTTTCCAGTCCATGCACTTGTCTTGTTCATGGCAAACAACCCCCTCACAACTGATTATCAAAATGTCCCGCAGGCGTACTACCCACTGGCCTGCGAAGCAACCAAGCTCAGGCTAGACTGCACTATCTGAGTTGCATTCTTAGCGTGCATCGTGAACGCAACCAGAGTTTGAAAATTTCTCGCTTCCTTCGAGTCTCGTGCAGTTTTGCTTGAAAAGGCATGCGATCATGAACGTTCATCGTGCACCCGCTGTTGTTGGGTTCTTGACGCAGATCACATTGCGACTGATGAGTCTCATGAATCATAGTACAGTCTGCATCCACATATGCATTTGGTATGAGCAATCTATAGTAAGAGTACAGCAAAACAAAAACCCCTCATCCGTCGATTAATCCGGAGGCCCAAGCTTTATCCCACGAGCACAAAACCTGTGTCAAGTGCATCTGATCCCGCGTAACCTTGAAGGAAAGACCATCCAATACCTTCTTCTTATCCTTCACAGAAAGCAGCACTGCCCTCCACGATCTAGAGTTAGGGGGGTCCTGCTTGTACGGGGCAGCAGGCACTGTGAATTGCTCCACATGCACATGTACTCCCCTTGTGCGATCGATATATGAATTGTTATCGTAGTGGGCAGTCAGGTGCGGGTAAACTATTGAAAATGTTTTTGGGTCTTTCATCGAAGCCCACGGAATGGCGCGTATCCAAATACGTAGCGGATGTTCTGGAGATGGTAAGCCCCTACGGGTGTCACAAAAACTGTTTGAAGCCCCCTGCAAATCGGCGAGGCAAGTGATATGGGTGATCCATGTAAGGAAAATGAATCCTTTCGTAATGCTGTGGAAGAACGCGGAGTTGACATCGAGTTCTGTTAATGTCAGACTTTTGGGTTTTCCAGGAAAGGGGGAGGGTCCGCTGACATTGGGATCTGTATAGAAATCCCATGCTTTTTGCACGCTATACATCACACGCAATAATTGGTAGGAGTTAATTGCAAGTGCCGGCGTAGCAAGTATCACTGGAACCAGCACGTTCGTGTCCTGATCGGACTGAAAATTTCCACGATACGCTATATAGAAGTCGTTAGTCTACATCGTCTGTGACTGTACATCAATGGGATAGTTACACAAGTCATCGATCCACATCCTCTTTATAGCGGAGATATAGTCAAATACGAGATCGCTTTCTTTCTCAGCGTACGCTTTCTGCATACGCAGAGCATTTTCAAACATATTCACGCTGTTGGGTCGGCGAAGCAAGATCGTGTGCAGGAATTCGGGGAAGATGGTGCGTCTCACAAGTCGAGAGACGAGACATAGGGAGACGGCAGTGGAATAGGGACTCTTATCATCATATTTCTCTTCTTGAGAAAATGTCGGCTTGGCCGCATATGTGAAGACGATGAGGGCAATCTCAATGGGAAGGTTACTAAATGGAGAGGGGTTAGCAAGTTCCATGATGGGAGTGTAAAATGCTAAACTGGTTAGAACGAGTCCTGCCTTTAATACTTGCCCCATCAATTGTGCATTACACCCACAGCAAGAGACAATTGTGTGGGACTACAAGTTGTGATCGATAGTCCATACCACAGTTACTTATTGTTCCTTCTACTAGTAGGTCACAGAAATTCAACGTACTCTTGTCCTGCAGAAATTCCTGTTTGTAATCCTAAAAGACCATCATAGCCATGATGTGAATGTGGCACGAACCGTAGAATGTACCTTCCGACCAGGCTCGATGACGCGCATACGGACTCATTCAAGTTCCGTCATGGTGCAACCCGCCCCGCCTTTTGATTCGGTAAAAAATCCCACCAGGGCTCAGCAATTCCACATGGGTATGAGGACCGACGAGCTGTGCGAGAGGTCAGCAACAAACAACTGACGCGTTGACACGGATCTCGCGCCACATCGAGTCTGCATTGTGTGTGATTAGTAGGCGTTCGGTTGCATTCACGTGTTTCAGAGAGACTTACACTTGGTCGTTAGCGAAGAATATTGTGCGTGAATAATAGATGGTGCGATCACGTTGACGGTAGGGATGCTAGATGCAAAACAGTATTGTGATGCTGCATACCTCTAGTTCATGCACAGTGTGCTCCGCGACGTCACGCGTGACGCACCACATCACAAAGGTAACCGTTTTGCAGCTGACATAATAATCGCAGCTGTTTATGAAATGAGATTCAGAATTGGGTACGAAATTGACTCTCCTATCATCCAATTACCCTCAGCCTGAATTGTGCTGTATGCTACTGCACCGGATTCCATCATGGTCCATGTCAGCTCTGGCTATATGTTCGAAGTCAATTTCCAGCTAGAACACAAGCACCGCGGCTATTGGCATTATGTGCAGCCTGTCAGGCCTTCAGGTGTGGTTTTGGGGTCGATCAGATCCCAGTGGTGTTCATTTGCTACTGGTCGAGGTATGTCGGTGATTCCTGGATGAACGGGTCTATTACATAATTGTTTTGATAAGATCTGAGATCTGAGATTGACTCATTGACGTAGTGGTGCTGATCCGAACTATATTTACGAATACCTGTCATGTGACTCAATGTTTGAATTTTGCCATTGCGTTTTCGTCTCTATCCGATTACTCCAACACACGAAACGCAGGTAGAGCACATGTTGCATAGAACTTATCTGTGACCTGCGTTCTGTCAGCGTCTCGTGTCGGCAAGACATACCTTCGTCGACACACCATGACACCACACTCTTTTACAGATTCAGTAACACCAAAAAATATTATTGCGACTGCGAGAGATTGTGCAAAAGCCAGCTGCACTAAGTACCCCGGATCATGATCCTGGTATAGAGGTTCGTTTTGCTGTTCTTGTGCTTATGATTTCAATTTATCCGTACAGGTGAATCATTTTGCAGATCACGACGCCTATGGAGACATTCCCGGCACAGCGATAGATGGTCCGCCCTCCCATCTCACTTCCCCAACATGTGATTCCACAACGATCTCCGTCCCCAGACTCGTGCTGGCATTTAACGCTACGTCTCGCAATGCTGTCGACCTTTTTCGAAATGGCTGGATCCAAGGCATACAGTCACACATCTTTCAAACTAGTGAGTCTTGGCTTGCATCGCGAGTCCTTATACTGATCTTGTTCTTGCCAAAGCATGCTGTTTTGTATGTTCGAGGCGCAGGGTCATGTACTTCATCGCTTACATCGTGACGGTTGAAGCTTTATGATCTCAATGCGATCTCAGTACCATTAAAAGACACCAGGGAGCTCGCTATGAACCGATGAGGAGCCAGCTTGAACGACATCACTCATCCCAGCAGGGACCAGCAATGGGGGAAGAGTCGAAGGAGGGCTGAGTCAAACGGTAGCACACACTGCGACTCTTGAGGCTGCAAGAAGTTGTCCATTAATATTGTGCTCATGAGTGGATATTCAAGGGTTTTTGAGGCGGATTCCATCGTAGCTCAATGAGACGCACGCCAGCCCTGAGAATCTTTGTGTATGTTGACCGGTACGTCTTCTTTGATGCCTGACAATATATGCGCCGATTGATAAAGTATGATGGACAGTCGGGCTGATCCGCGAACGTGTATCAAACCTGCCCCGTGCTATCTATGAACACACAAGCTCCTGCGGCCCGCTACGTCTGCCTTTCCCTCAGTACCAACGAGCGTGGTCGACATTCGAGTTCAGCCAACACACACGGCACCTAAATGCCCCTCAGTTCATACCCAGAACCACCATCTTCCGGGAAAACTCCACACGTGCAGACCCCGTCGAACAGTATGGGATGTTACCCATTCCAGAGGCTGTCTCGCATACCGACATGCTCTCGTTTGCTCTGAGACGTTTCAAGGATCAACAATTTAGAAGATCGAATAAGATTTCTGATATCACTGCTCTCAGGTAGACGGGTATAGGGAAGAGCGAAATTCTGTCATGTCCGTCGTATTCTGATCATTCATCATAGTTCATATCCCTATCAATGTTCTCATTATCTGGCGTCATTTGTTGTGCAATCCTCATGCTTTCAACTTATCGTACGAACGATTGAACAGTTGCAACTTCGTGTCTATGTGAGGGTATAATCAGTGATCTGATGCAGGGAGATAGATAAGAGATAGACGCCGTGTGTGGCTGTTATGCTACAAGCCATAGGAACCCTTGCTTTGTGTTTGTTCGCTGCCATATCTCACCACGACCTCATTCAGTACCACAGTACAGCTTTCACGATAAACCAAATCACCTCTACATTAGAACACATATCAAGATCTCCCAATGGCAACCATCGAAGCACAGGACCTCAGAGAAAGAATCGGGCGCTTTCGAGTTCTGATCATGGGGAGAGCAAACGCAGGCAAAACGACCATCCTTCAAAAGGTCTGCAACACCACGGATCAACCAGATATATACGATACCAAAGGAAAAAAGGTGCGGGTGATGATCTATACCATACACGCGTCCATCGCTGATCAATTACGGGTAGATCGATGCTGCCATCGTGCAATCATCAATCAAGGTGGGTGCATCATTCGCCCTGTGGGCATACATCCGCTGACGGACGCTCAGCGTGGAAATCACGATATCACCAACGAGATGGTGTTCACAAGTAATCCCACTTTCGTCTTTCACGACTCGTGCGGTTTCGAGGCAGGGTCTGAAGAAGAATTCGAGAACATGAAGAAGTTTATCTCAGATCGCGCACATGCAACGAAATTAGAGGACCGAATTCATGCTATCTGGTAAGTAGCCCCCTTCCGACGTTCCGTGCTTTTTGATTTCCATCAGGTATTGTATTCCGATGGACGACCATTGGCGAACATTTCAGCGGTCAGAAGAGAAGTTTTTTCAGGAGTGCGACACAGGGCATGGTGAGCTTGCAACTTCATTGTCAGTTGCCGTGCTGGGACTGAATGATTGATCTTCAGTTCCTGTGGTCGCGGTGTTCACCAAGTTCGAGGCTTTGCGTCCAGTCGCGTATGGTGATATCAAGAAACAGCTACTAGGGATATCGGGCGAAGAGCGCTCAAAGAGGATTGCCGAGCGCGTTGAGGAACTGTTCAGTAGGACAGGAGTCTTGGATCGGTTGTACAACCCCGAAAACCGTGCGCGTCCCAAGTCCTATGTACGCTTGCAAAGTGAGTGGTTCAGATTGATTTGTCGCATGTCAAAGTTGACATTAGCAACCGTCCTAGATATGAACAAACAGAATACAAACTGCGACGCTCTACTGGAAAGCACCACTCTCGCACTGGACAACGAAGAATTACGGTTGTGCTTGGTGTCGACACAAAAATCGAACCTGGAGCTTTGCATCAAGTGGGCCATCGCGTGAGTCTCATATTTGCAAGTCACATATTTTTGTTTCAACATCATCTAGAACACTCGTTAATCGAGCAGATCTGCAAATCGACGATGGAAGCTATCAGTATAGCATTGCTAAGTGGTTTCCACATCTCCAAGTAAGACAAAGATTGATTCAATCTGATGACTCCCTGGTAATGGTGCTCATGGATGGTAAATATCGAAGCGGTGAAACTGTAAACATTCTGATATGTTTTCCTTCCTTGTAGTTGTTATTGAAAACAGCTGGTAAGATCATGGCTTACGAAGCTACGCAGGGACAACGCTGATGCCTTGCTGCTGCTCGCCTGTTGACAGTATGTAAGTGCCTTGATTGGTTTCTAGTCCTCGACCCATGCTCATGATCACCATCCCTCGCTGCTGCTCGCCTGTTGACAGGTCGTGAGTGCCTTGATGGTTTCTACTCGGCCCATGCTCATGATCACCATCCCTTGCTGCTACTCGCCTGTTGACAGGACGTGAGTGCCTTGATGGTTTCTAGTCCTCGACCCATACTCGTGATCCTCATCCCTCGCTGCTGCTCGCCTGTTGACAGCGGGTAAGTGCCCTGATGGTTTCCAGTCCTTGACCCATCCTCATCATCCTCACCCTCCCTGCTGCTCGCTTGTTGACAGAATGTATGTACTTTTTATGGTCTCATTCTCAACCCATGCTGACAATCGCTGCTCCTCACCTGTTGACAGGATGTAAGTGCCTTGATTGGTTTTCTGTCTGCAACTCATGTGGACACGTCTTACATCTTACTGTTGTTTTTGGCAGGTGGTGTGTCTTGATCATATCTTGTATTGAGATGATGCTGAATAGTGCAATGATGTTCACTCGTTTTCATAGCCTAATATAAGCGCGTCCTGTTCCATCAGATGAGTCGAATCACCATTGCTCATATAATGCTTAGTTCGTTGAGTATCCCTCCTTGATGACTTATTTTCCATGTTCATTCATCTTGCATATTTTCATGTCCTGTGCAGAATGTGAGTCATTTGACCTTCATAGTGCGACGCGTTCAATCTCTAATCATTTTGATTGACTCTGTCGATCTGTAGCATGTAAGTCTATTTAAATCGTCAATGATTTTAGCCAGATAATCTCTTGCCTTCTTCACGTGTTCGCAGAATGTGTGTTAACCATATCCTGTATGACATCATATTACTCCACTGACAGACGATCTTATCTAGCTCGTACGTCCATGAATGGTATTCGCCAATATATAGTGATGCTCATCTGATTTCAACCCCTGACAGTTTGTAAGTTACCTGAGCACAGCAGTCATTGTCATCTAGTTTCTGATTATTCACAACCGTTACGTCGACCAAATAGAATGTACGTCTCTGTCATTAATCAAATCCCAATTTTCCACCTCATATTTCTGATGTCCCTTACCCGCAGGGGGCAAGTACTTTCCTCCGTGGAGTTGACTCTGATACCCATACTTTCAACCTGTGGCTAGGCCAAAACCTACCGAGATAATATCACCCGCGCCCTTCAGCCCTTGGTAGGTTGGCTTCCCTCCGTATTGATTCTCAGCACTATACGAGTGTGCAACAGGTTGTGAAGGGTTTACTGTTCACTTCTGCTGCGAACAGAATTCAGACTGGCATCGGTTAGTTTCTCACCACACGACCGGTTGTAGTCCTAATGACAGGAAGCAGCCACCGTTATCGTCCTCGAGTACTCTGCATTTCTCTTGAACGAGTTGAAGAACTGGGAGCCCGTCAAGTCTGCCGTGGACTACTACCTGAAATCTCCGACGGCTGCCGCAGTGGAGAAAGGAGCGAAAGAGATTTGTCGTCAAGGCTACCATGGAGAGGAACTGGAAAAGAAGATTCTTGAGTTCATCCTTGAAAATCGCTTGTGTACGTCCCTCTCCTCGTTGTGAACCTGGAAGTCGAAGTTTACCAAAAGCCTGCAGCGAAGGACTTGACAGAAACGAAGTAGATAATGTTCGGGTCAAGCTTTCTGTCTTTTGATGCGTCTTTCCTCATGCTATGCGCTCGTGTTGTTTACTATACTGAGCACGCCAACTCTAACTCCTGAGCTGTACAGTTGTTTCCGATACCTTCTCCCCATGTTATGTACTATACTCGGCACTCCAGTTTCAACCCTGACGAGTTTTCTATACAAAGTCAAACAGATTGTTGCTGAGCTTACTGGTCCAGTTGTATTCTTTTGCTATCACACGGTACACCTCCATTGTTTCCACAGTACCTACCATTATGCGCATTACTCGGATGGCACATTTGTCCTTGACTGCCACGAGTTCTTGTCGAACATGGCCATCAGAGAACCTGTGAGAAGAAGATATCGTCATATATTGTTATATATCGTAATATATAGGAAAGGTTTTCGTCACATTGTAATATAAAGTGATATAAAGCAATATATGACCATGTAAAAGCACCATAATCAGCATAATCCCCAGCAAGAACTCACCGGTTTACTGATGGCTGTATTTATGGTTTGTGCAAAAAAAATTCCGCCATTTGTGGGATGCGTCTCATTTGATATTGACTCAGTTGTAGTGACCCATCACCAAGTTTTGGTAGATATCTAATTAGCACAATTGAAGCCTCCATTTGTGCCCACCATGGAAGTGAAAATGTGAAATCAAAACAAGGGCCGACAAAGTTCCTTGAAAAATCGTAAAACTACAAGGTTACAAAGGGTGGAAACAGATCAAACAGAGCAGTAACGCTACGATCATTATTTATCATACACAGGAACATTGTAAGCCTGCGGCTTACCATTGGACACCGTCACTTGTTTGTGCATCGTCATTTGTTTGTTCGTTGTTTGCACCGAACAGTATATAGACCTGACTGCCCCTTTGTTCGTATCTTATCTCTTACTGTACCGCTCAATCCCATACGCTCATCCACGTATCTGTGTCTGTTGTCTGTTAGTGTCGGCTGTTGACTGCGACAGCCTCACACTTTTTTTTTACGTTCACTGAGCGTAACTACTCTGTTCACCGCACCGTTCACACCGTTACATAATTCAAACCACACCGTCGGGTATTGGCCTTGTGGGTCAACCCGTGTTACATAACTAAAACTGCCTCCCTGCCGTACACGTATTCCTGTTCTTCTGTCGTCCATCATGACAAGGAGTCGCTCTAGGCTTGGAGCAACACTTAACAACAACTCGCCGAGTTGGTTATCACCTATTATCAATCACGAACTATCACCCCTCACTTCCATTGTATCTTCTCGTGGGGATCTGAGAACGCGCACCTCAAACGACGCGCATATATCCACAGATTCGGACTCAACCGACTCTAGCTGCAAAACACACGCCAACCCTAAGATGTCCTCCAAGGCAGCACATATAGAACAATCTTCCGCAAACAAACCCCCCTTCCTCACCATGGGCGAAGTGACGCCGGAGGCCCTGCGATCATGGGAAATGGGCTGTGCCCAATTCTTCATGCATAAGAATGTCGCTGAGGACGATATGGTGAAGAAGATTGCCTGGGGGATGCAAGACCTGCGAATTCAAGATTGGTGCCTTATGAACCAGGAGGAGATGGACCTTATGACGTTCAAGGAGTACATGGCAGAAGTACGTCGGGTTTGGTTGCCGTCTGGGTGGGCAGATATCGTTCGGTGTAAGATGTTAGCATCTATGCAGGGACAATGCCCATTCAGCGAGTGGGCAATCGATGTACAAAGCCAGAACACTCTCCTCTGAGGCACAGCCTCTCACCTAACAGACATTAATGTTCTATATCACTTAGAATCTCACATGAATGTCGAACTAGCTGCCGACTATCACGCGGAGAATATTGTGGAGGACGACCTTCAGTTATGGATCGAGAAGGTGCGGATCCTCGACGAAAAATGTTTGCATTACCTAGCAAGGCAGAAGGAAGCCGTTGAAACGGCTCTGTGCGCTGAGCGGGCATGCTCTAACATTGAGAAGAAGGCTGGGATGACAAGTTCGAGCAACCGCTATGCGGCGAAGAGCTCCACAACCTCAAAGGGTACGGGCACTTTGAAGACATTCACTCGCCTACCTTCTCTCACTGACGGCGAACACCTCCTGTTGAGGGAGAACAATGGATGCTTTAAGTGCAGAGAGCCATTTGCAGGCCACACATTGTCAAACTGTGTCAAAGGGTTTCCTGACGGAGCGTCTTACAAGACTCTGACTGCAGCAGCGGTAGCCGCTAAGAAGAGTAAGAAGAATGTGGTGGCTTCGGTTGAGGTTGAGGAGGAGAGCGACACGGTGTAGAAACAACAATACTGAGTGGAACAAATGATGCTCCTGACAGTATCTATAAAAAGTTGTGAGGTCGCGCGTTGCCTAGTCTGCGTTACTTGAGGAGACAAGTGCGTTCGACCCTAGGGGAAGCGAGTGCTGCGAAGATCTAGAGGTACGCGCTTCAGCGAAGCGCGAGAAAGCGCAGGTGCGCGCAAGGCGCGGGAACACGCGCGCGTATTAGCGCGAAGCGTGGGAAAGCGCGCGCGCGTATGCAGAAATGATAGATAGACTAGACTTAAGTGATAATATGATGCAAGAGATGTGAGAGCGCGAGATCTAAAGGAATAGGTTTCTACTATGTTCTCCTAAGTAGTAAGTAAGTAGTAATAGGTAAATGGGAGGTAAAGTAAGGTCCAGTGTAGTATGTACTGCTGGCGCTTATATAGCGCGCCTAAGCGCGGTCATGCGGAGCCGAAGCACTACCGAGTAGGTATGTAAAAATATATATGAGTGAGAAACTATGATAAAAATAAAGGTGGAACTATGCTAATAAAGGAAATGGAAATATACGTACTAGGGAGCTTGGTGGACAGTGGATGGATGCATCTGAATGGCTGGCGCTATAGGGTGCGCAAGCGCGGGAACACGCGCGCGCGCATACATCATGAAGCGCGGGAATGGTGCGCGCATGGCGCGCGTTGCGCGGGAAAGCTGCGCCTCATATAGAGATAGCTGCGGGTAGCGCACAGAGTGACACTACAAGTTCATGCTATGTACTTCCTAGTGTAAAGCTGTCATATCAAACCATGAGACACACGAGTCTCTACAACGGTCGCTGTAGTTATGCCATCCGCAGTGTTGGGAGACGGCAACTGTACGGGCTATTGTTGCCCCGAATCTTTGTATGCCTTTGTTATTGGGAGGACCATTCCTCCAGCACAATCAAATTGTGGTTGATCATGAGCTGCGTACATGTATTTCTAAAGACGCTAACTATGATCTTCTACAGCCTATTGTGGTTCCTCCCGTTCAGTCATGAACAAAAGGATTGTGGGGACTGGATTTGCTGTGGGCAAAGAGGAATGTAGTGAGCGAACTGAAGGCAGTCCTTCCCGAATGGAAGGACATCATTGATGACGAGTGCGAGGCAGTCAATGGCATAGACATTGTGGCCGCAATACAAGCACATATCGACAACCTGGTGTATGAGGATGAACTGAAGGCCCTCGACGCAAAATATAAGTCCAAATTTGAGGACCGGTTTCCAGTGGATATCCCGCATAATGACACTATGCCGAGTGATGTATTGTTCCGCTTGAACCTAAAGGATGTTAACAAGGTAGTCCAACTATGATCCTATGACTGCCCGAAGAAGTATAGGGCTGCCTGGAAGACTCTGCTAGATTCACACGTTGAAAGCGGAAGACTTAGGCATTCGAACAGCGAGTGGTCATCGCCCTCGTTCATCATTCCAAAACTGGATCCCACGGTGCTGCCACGCTTGGTTAACGATTTTCGGCGACTAAACATCAATACAGTGGCAGACAACCACCCCTTGCCGCGTATCGATGAAATTCTGAAGGACTGCGCTAAAGGGAAGGTCTTCGGAAAGATTGATATGACTAACACATTTTTTCAGACACGCGTGCATCCCAACGATATGAAGTACCTGGCCATCCATACACCATGGGGGAAGTACGAATGGACAGTAATGCCTATGGGCATGTGCAACACGCCCGCTGTCCATCAACGGTGCATGACGGCAGCCCTGCGACATCTCATCGGGAAAATCTGCCATGTCTACCTTGATGACATTATCATCTGGTCTCAAACGACATCCGAACACGAAGCAAACATTGAAAAAGTGCTAGAGGCACTGCGAAAGGTGCACTTGTTCTGCTCGCTAAAGAAGACCTCACTATTTAACGCTGAAATTGACTTTCTAGGGCATCACATCTCGGCTCAAGGTATTGAAGCGGACGGGTCGAAAGTGGCTCGTATTCTGGATTGGCCACGTCCGAGGAAGGCGACAGAAGTTAGGTCGTTCCTGGGTATGGTTAGATACCTTGCAGAGCACCTTCCAAATGTTGCGAAACACGCGAGAATACTGAATGCGCTGTAGAGACTCATGCCTCTCATGGCGTGATATGGCAGTTTCCACTAAGGGAGTATACAGCACCAACTCGCAGCACCACTCTGTGTACTGTCCACAGCAATTCCTATATGAGGCGCAGCTTTCCCGCGCAATGCGCGCCATGCGCGCACCATTCCCGCGCTTCGCGATGTATACGCGTGCGCGCATTCCCGCGCTTGCGCGCCCTATAGCGCCAGCCATCCAGATGCATCCATCCACTGTCCACCAAGCTCCCTAGTGCGTATATTTCCATTTCCTTTATTAGCATAGTGTTCCACCTTTATTTTGGACTCTCACCCATATATATCCTTACATACCTACTCAGTAGCGCTTCGGCTCCGCATGACCACGCTTAGGCGCGCTATATAAGCGCCAGCAGTACATACTATTACTGACTTACTTTTCACCTGAACTTACTTTTCACCTTACCTTACTTTACCTCCCATTTACCTATTACTACTTACTACTTAGCAGAATATAGTAGAAGTCTATTTGTCTATACTTCGCATCTCCCTTCTCTTTTCTTGCATTATATTATCACTTGAGTCTAGTCTTTATCATTTTCCGCATATGCGCGCGCGCTTTCCCGCGCTTCGCGCTAATACGCGCGTGTGTTCCCGCGCCTTGCGCGTACCTCTAGATCTTGGCTGCACTCACTTCCCCTTTAGGGTCAAACGCACTTGTCTCCTCAAGTAACGTAGGCTAGGCAACGCACGACCTTCAACTATTATAGATACAGCTAGGAGCATTATTTGTTCCTCTCTGTATTGTTGTTTCTACAGCACTCACGATGAAAGCAGCCGAACTTAAATTTCCACAATGGTCGAAAGTGCACGAGGATGCTTTCGTCGCAATCAAGGAGCTAGTAGTAAGTCCAAAGTGTCTAACGACTATTGACCATGATAATCCAGGGGATAATAAAATATTCCTTACATGCAATGCTTCAGACTACGCCACCGGCGCTATGCTCTCGTGGGGACGTACTCGCGAATCAGCGCATCCACATCAGGAAATCACGAGTTTCCCTTTTCGACCTAATGTCACTTTAATACAACTTTTTTCACTTATTCTTCAGACGCGACAAGTGGGTGACACAAAATTAAGTTGAAGGACTAAAATAAGTAAAATAAGAGATTAAGACAGGTGACTCGGAAATAAGTGTCTAAGTGGCTAGTATCGAAAAATCTAATGATGGTCGCGATGTACCCAATAATAAGCAGCCTATGGGACACCAATCAACAAACTGAATCGTACGCCTCATCTTGATGACAAGGAGAGCACAAGCACAGGCCATGTATTTGCCCTCCCTGGGATCACACTCGACCATCTGGCCACCCATTTCAAAGCACGAGAAGGTCAACAGAGTTCTGCTCATGGTGTGCCTTCTCCGCTGAAATGATGGGCACAAAAATGGCAAGAGGGAAATGAATGCGCAGGAAAGGAACAAGGTTGGTCTGGAACTCGTTCAAGTCAACATTCAACAAGGGTGTAAGCATGCTGACTTACTAGAGTACCCATAATACTGTCTGCGGTACTGAAACATAGTCCGGCAGAAGGGAAAGCGGGCTTTGGTGGCAAAGGATAGCGAAGGATAGTGATGGCCATATGAAGGCCTACGAGGCAATTTCAAAGGCATGGTGATCTGCAAATTTGTTAACGTAGAAAAGTTTGAATATGTCGAGGACATGATAGAATTTGATTGATGGTGAGAGTGGGGTTGTACCAAATACTGGAATTAAGTGAGCTGCGTGAAAGATAGTGTCAATGTGAATGACTGCGAAGTGTGGGGTGTTTTGTGCTGCAAAAGCTGGCTTAACCATCCACATGCTGGTGTCGGGATCAGGAACATTGCCAACCCGATTGAACCAGCGGACCACTGCACATGGAATCTGTCTGCCATGCTGTCGAAGAGAAAAGAATGCCATGATGCGGGCAACATCCATGCCCTGCATCCCGTGAGTGTCTGAGTCGGTGATCACAAACATGCAATCATTGCGTGCGTACTCGTTTCTCCATAATGGACATGCACGAATATGTTCGTGCTTCATGCCACCAATTCCACTAAGGTCGCTGGGTGCATGGAATGTCGATGATGCAGAGTTGAATATGGAAATTTGACCTTGATAGTGTGGGAACTCTAGGAGAGGGACCTCAGTGGGGTTGCGAGTATCTTTGGGATTGGACTGTTCAAAGAGGAACCATCGAACAAGGTCAGCCAGGTTGGGAATATCAAGCTCGGTGCTAAGCTCTGGAATGCTTTGCGCGTGTTTTGTACCTTCTATGTACTTATTCTCAGTAATTGAAATGAAACCTGATGGGGTGCGCTTACAGGGTGTCTTAGTGAGTTCAACATGTGCAAGGACTGAGGTAGGGTCATCAATGACATCAAAGTCTTCATTCACATCTTCTCCAGGGGCTGATGAGACGGGTAGCTCATGTTGGCCTGCATCATGATGTTCTCTGGGGGCTTGTGTGTTCAACGCAGCGAGAACAGAAGTTAGACATGTGCCGTTAAGCATCCCACGCGCATGAAAATCTTGGCGTGATGCAGTCAATTTGTCCAGACGTTGGTTGGTTACAAGCATCTGGCCTAGTGCTTTGTAGCGACTGGACCGCCTCCATGGTTCCTTCACAGCTTTGATGTGCTTACTTTCTGTGATAGATGAACAAAGTCCGTTCAGTGCACCGAAAAGACGAATGAGGGCGTTGTAATGCTTTATCGAATGTTGTCAAGGGAGTGAGAAGGTCTGAATCACATCGGAGGTCCTGAAAATCTCACGATACCGATGGAATCGAGCAACCACATTGTTGATTTCTTTGAGAGATGTCTCCGTGATGATGTTACGGCAGACGAGGTAGCAAAACTCGAGGAGTGCATGGAATGCACGGACAATGTCCGTTGGTACATAGCCTTTGATTGCTGGCAGATATACCTAAATGACATTAGCTGAAAAAAACTGAATTGAATGAGATGAAAGATAAAATACCTTCATAAGAGCTTTTAAGTCATCTCCGGTCCACTGTTTGAAGTTGCATCCTTGAGGAAATCTGCGCAATCCTGAAAATGCAGGCACTGCTGCGATTCTGTTCAGAATACTAGTAAGCCTGATTATTCATACTCAACATCATGTTTGACGTACCTTCTATCAATGTCATCAAGTATGACATCAGCTCGTGCTTGGCCATATGTAATCACAAGGTATTTTTCAACCCAGGCGACCAAGTGATCTTTGAAGGCCCCCTTTATTATTTGATGGAGGAGATCCGGCGCAATGAGTTCATTTATGTCAGCTCGAGGGAAATCATTGGTGAATGGCTATATCATGATGAATAGGTTAATTTTGAGTAAAAGAGATGCGCTGAGACTTACCACAAGTTGAGCGATGATTCCATACTCATCCCAAAGCATCTCATGGTCGCACTCTTCAATTAGCGTGTCAGTGTGAACTCTCGAGTGCAGGAGATTATCATCGTCGAGAGTTTTGCTATTTGAAGTACATCTACAATAGAATTAGAATCAATACAATAAAGAGGCCGCAAGTACTTACTTTGCACACCATGATTGGACTATGCATGCAAGTAAAACTTGTTCCTCATAGTCTGCAATATATGGGCCAAGTCCATAGATTACACGGCGATAATGGCCATCACCGAAGCGCACAACTTCAGGCTTCGTCATCATGGGCTTCAAGGTCTGTAGTATGAAGGAAAGTGATGAATGAAATAGTTGGTGATGGAATTTGCGGAAAATCGCAGTTTTAGCGTGTTGTTTCGTTGCTACAAATATTGTAAGGTTAATGAAGATATGTGATTGAAAAGGAACTTACTCTTTGGCATTGCTAAAAATCCGATTACTGCAACTGCACCACAGTGAGCACGACGCACATTATTGCGAACATTTCCTATGGATGCATACAGCAGGTAATAGTCATTTTGCCCAGTGGCAACTGACACTGTGGTTTTATCGCTGCCGAGGATTACAGGCACAAACATTGAGCCGTGAGTGTCTGGATCCTCAGCAATTTGATCCTGTGTGTAAATTTTAATTAAGCGAACATTGAAAGGAAGAGGCTTACTGCTTGATTCCAAGCCCAGTCGCCTGACATAAAGTCCTGCCATTGACGCTCATCCGTTTCTGTTGCAAACTCACAGTAAGGTCGCAAATCAACTTCTGTGGCATAGTCAGGATTGGCGAGCATATTCTGAACAACTTGATGAGGATCGCGAAACCACACATCGTAGCTCTCAGTCATCCAGGGTGCAGGGTCTCCATCTGGAATGTCTCCAGTGTATTTGACCGAGAACGACTGCCATTTAACATCACCTAAAGGTGTGCTGTCAATGGTTTTGTAGACATCACGATGGTCTTTGAATGGTACCTGTGATAGGTAAGCGCCAGCTTGGATTAGCGATGCAGCCCACAGGTCAAGAAGGTGGTCAATTTGTGCTGCGGGTGTCTGATTTTTGGTGAAAATATAGTCGGCAAGCTCAAATTCCAACCGATCACAGTAGGGAGTCCAATCGTCAGAGCATTTTTCTGAAAGTGGCAAAGGCAGGACTCCTGGCGGAAGAAAATTCCCTTCAGGATCACATGGACGACCTTTGAAGATTAAGTATATTAGATAGAAAATGCAAAAATTAAAGAAAATGTACCGGTTAAACTAGGATGGTAGTTTCTATATAAACGGTCACCGGTGCCAACAAATTCTGCAGGTGTGGGTGATTGTACAGAACGAGGGATCTCAGAACGGTCCTCTTCACAGGCACCATCAGATTGTATGGGATCGATGTCTCCATTAAAAATAGGTGAAGGAGAACGATTGGACTGGGACGGATCATCTGGATGTGGCCAAGTGAATTGAGATGGTTCTGCATGTAAGGGTGCTGCACTAAACAATGGATGGGCTGCGTTCGTATGCTGTGTGTATCCGGATTTGTTCTTGAACCAACGGTTGCATCCTGGTTTGGTGCAGGGAATGCGAAGGGTGCTGAAATCTCGTCTAGAGTGCGGCATGGCAAGATGGCAACTAAAAAATAGCAGTAAGTTTTCAGTACACAAATTAGTACCACACAATCAACGAATGTGTCAAGGATAATGAAAAGAGCTTAAATTATGTGCAAGTACGACAGCGTTGTTTGTCTAAGTTTAGAGTCTAGACTCGGAAAGGTTCGTGAGGCACTTACTAAAGTGTTGAATTTTCTCGTTGATCCCATTGTGCTCCTCACATCCGACCATCTTGCAATTGCTGCTTTCCTGCCTGCTATGGTTTCTACTCGTCCTAAAAATGCGACTCAGCGCCCTGGTGAAATTGTGAAACAAGCTACAAGAAAACGACGCACAGCAAAAGAAATTGTGGTGGACACTCAGCGGACCAGAGAAGCACAGGAAGCACGGCAATTAGCCGCCAAAAACGGCATCAATCGTGTTGCAGAAGTGGAGGCATTGATGGAGATAGAGCAGGCAGGAGTAATCACAAAGGTGACGCCTGTAAAGCCTCGTCCAAGGCCGGTCATACAGAAGCCATGTGTCACCAAAGATGACCCTTCAAAGAGCCACGACGCGTTAGGAACTGAGACCAGTCTTCAAGCTAAAGGTGGCCATACCTTAAAAGGCGTTGCTGATGATAATACAGGCACAGATGGCGATTGCGAGCTGCCAGTGGAGTCTGAGACCAAGCTGAAGAGGAAGAAGAAAGAGAATATTTTGTTATGCGAAGCTGTCAGTGCTGCGAGGTTAAAGAAGCAGAATGAGAACTCGCATCGGCCTGATGATCTGATCAAGGCTGACTGGCCTGGGAGATCTGTTGATGGCAAGGCACATGGCCCTGACAAGAAAGGAAAACACGTCAATACCGAGTCAGTGGCATTCTGTCTCACACCATCATGTTAATACTTACCGAGTCAACGCTCTACTTTTTGGACTTGACTTCAAAATTCAGAAGCAAGAAATTCAGCCTGTCAGGAATGGTCAACAATTGGCTTGATAATGTCGAACCTAATTCAAAGGGGAAATCCTCAAACTCCGCCTCCGTTACTAGGACTGGAACGAGCATTCCTGGCTCAACGACAGATTCAAGACTTACCAGAATAACTTCAGCAATGACTTTCTCACAGGCAACGGAACCCCCACCTACACCATCCAAAACTAAACCTAAGGTCACATGCTCTGATGATGATGGCGACTCTGGTGACGATGACGAGGGCGATTCCGAAGAGCGCACTGTCATTGTCACAGAAAAAGGAAAAGGAAAGGCTGCAATGAAGGTAAGTGCGGTGTAGAAACAACAATACTGCCAGGAACAAAGATAGCTCCTAGCTGTATCTATAAATGTTGTAGGTCATGCGTTGCCTAGTCTGCGATACTTGAGATGGCAAGTGCGTTCGACCCTATAGGGGAAGCGAGTGCAGCGAAGATCTACAGGTACGCGCTGAAGCGAAGCGCAGGTGCACGCAAGGCGCGGGAACACGCGCGTGTATTAGCGCGAAGCGCGGGAAAGCGCGCGTGCGTATGCAGAAACAACAGAGAGGTTAGACTTAAGTGATGATATGATACTAGATAAGAGAAGAGAGATGCGAGGTGTAAACAGATAGAGTTCTACTATGTTCTGCTAAGTAGTAAGTAAGTAGTAATAAGTAAATGGGAGGTAAAGTAAGGTCAGTAATAGTATGTACTGCTGGCGCTTATATAGTGCGCCTAAGCGCGGTCATGCGGAGCCGAAGCACTACCGAGTAGGTATGTAAAAATATATATGAGTGAGAAACTATGATAAAAATAAAGGTGGAACTATGCTAATAAAGGAAATGGAAATATACGTACTAGGGAGCTTGGTGGACAGTGGATGGATGCATCTGAATGGCTGGCGCTATAGGGTGCGCAAGCGTGGGAACGCGCGCGCGCGCATACATCATGAAGCGTGGGAATGGTGCGCGCATGGCGCGCGTTGCGCGGGAAAGCTGCGCCTCATATAGAGATAGCTGCGGGTAGCGCACAGAGTGACACTACAAGTTCATGCTATGTACTTCCTAGTGTAAAGTTGTCATATCAGACCATGAGACACACGAGTCTCTACAGCGGTGATTATAGGCGATAATCTAACTTACCATCTATTTCAGACTGTTATTGAAATTGAGAGCGGTACAGATACAGAATTTCACACAGCTCCTATTGTGGTTGGAAATGCCACCAGCATGAAGGTATGTTCAACCAGCTTGTGCTCATCAAGACCTGTACTTACCATACATTTTAGCCGATTATCCCGAGTCCCCAGGAATCTGACGCTGACAACAGCGATGTTTTGAGCCTGACATCCGAGTCAAGCAATATTCCTTTCACCGACTTGCCCTACGAAAAGCAGGTAGAGATTGTTAGCTTCGCCTTAGAACAAGCCCCACATACCGGCAAGAGGAAACTTGAGGAAGTCGTGTGTGAGTTGGGACTTGATGACTCAATTGATTATGAGGATGAAGACGATGCAATGGAGTTTGGAGATAGCCTTATGGAACTCGGGGACGACACTATGGATATCGACAGTGAGATCGAAGATGCTTCTTCCACTGCCAAGAAGAGTTTGAAAGGAACTAACAGCGTAGGTCGCACCACTGCAACAGTAAGTCATTCGTTTTCAGCAACATCTATTCTAACAGTGCAACAGACAAGTGTGATGGCTGTCGAGAAACCGTTGGTCCTGCAGCCGGCCAAGAAGGCTAGGTCAGAGCCAGCTACCCAAACTTTGACGACAACGACAAAGGTACCACGCCCGGCCAAGAGGGTCAAGTCAGAGCCCACTTCCAAAACCTCAATGAAACCTGCCATTCCCGCTGTGCCAGAGTCAATGCTCGCAGACATGGCAATCAGACCAGCGGCAGGCAATGGCCAGTGGCGAAACACAGACCTCCCACCTATGCTAACAGAGAACAGTTTGTGGCATAGACAATTTGTTCCAACTATTCTCCTTTGGGCAGGTAGCCAGTCGAGCTTTTGGACGATCGAGGCTGCCGATTTGCTGTGTGCGGTGCAGGCTACATTCAACACAATGTATCCTGGAGTAAAGTACAATATTCAACCTAGGGGCCCTATCATGGGTGTGGTGACCGTTATCCTCATATCTTTATTCACAGTCTTGATCGTAAATTTAAAGATCACTCAGCAGTTATGTACTTGGCGCAGCAACTTTGGTTCCACCGCTATTGCACTTGTTGCTAATTTTTTAGCATCCTTGAGGGAAAGTGAGGACGATGAAGACGAAGCTGATGACGATGAAGAGGACACTGACAGGAAAGAGAAGCTCATGATGGAGATGGCAGCCTCCCTCCTCAAAGACTATGCCTTTCTGTTCGCGGACCCCGATACCTGCAAGGCCTCCAACATTTACCACTCTGTCTTCATGTTGCAAATGATTGCAATGACCCATCTTAACACAGTTGCAGGCTTCATTGACGTACCAGAACTCGACACACACGCTCTGTCTTCGACAAAGATGGAAGGTGTGATTGCTGCTTGCGCTGTTGCTGTAAGTCTCATCTGTAAATTCAAATAATAGCTAATGATTACTATTTTATTGGCAGCTTGAACGTGCTTTGAAGTTAGTTGCAGAAAAGGAGAAGAAGAGCACAGATCTCAAAACACCCCTCAAGATCAACAAATCTACCGGTGTAGAGACTCGTGCATCTCATAGTGTGATATGGCGCTTTACACTAGGGAGTATACAGCACCAACTCACAGCATCACTCTGTGTACCATCCACAGTGATTCCTATATGACGCGCAGCTTTCCCGCGCAACGCGCGCCATGCGCGCACCATTCCCGCGCGCGCGTTCCCGCGCTTGCGCGCCCTATAGCGCCAGCCATCCAGATGCATCCATCCACTGTCCACCAAGCTCCCTAGTGCGTATATTTCCATTTCCTTTATTAGCATAGTTCCACCTTTATTTTTATCATAGTTTCTCACTCATATATATTTTTACATACCTACTCGGTAGCGCTTCGGCTCCGCATGAGCGCACTTAGGCGCGCTATATAAGCACCAGCAGTACATACTATTATTTACCTTACTTTTCACCCAACTTTACCTAGTACTTACTACTTAGAAAGTCGCAGTAGAAATCTATTCATTAGCACAACACATCTCACATCCTTTATCTTGCTTATATCTTCACATAAGTTTAGTCTCTCTTATTTCCGCTTACACGCGCGCGCTTTCCCGCGCCTTCGTACCTTGCGCGCACCTGCGCTTTCTCGCGCTTCGCTGAAGCGCGTACCTCTAGATCTCTGCTGCACCTGCTTCCCCTTTAGGGTCGAATGCACTTGCCATCTCAAGTATCGCAGACTAGGCAACGCACGACCTACAACTTTTTAGATACAGTCAGGAGCATTTCTTTGTTCCTCTCTGTATTGTTGTTTCTACAACTGGAGCCCACCGCGAGGGGAGCAGTCAGCAAGATCTAGTTTTGCGCATCTTAACACATACAGGTCAATCTCTTTGCATTTTCACAAGCTAACCAGTTTCTAGTCACGCATTCTCGCGCCTTGCGCGCGCGCTTTCCCACCCCTGTGCGCCTTGCGAGCGCACCTTTGCACTTAGCGCAATTCGCACATATAAGGTCAATCTCCTTGCAAATTCAGAAGCTAACCATTGTATAGTCACGCACTCTCGCGCCTTGCGCGCACACAATAGTTCCCACGCCTCTGCGCCTCACGCGTGCGCCTGCGCCTTTTCACGCCTCAATGCCTTATAGAATGCCCATCCGCGGCACCGCAAATGCGCCCAAGTTCAACAGCACTACAGACAACCTCGCTGAATTCATTGACACATATGAGCAGCTCGCTGATGAAGCAGGACTCCAAGGACTTGACCGCATCAAAGGTATTATCTGCTACCTTGCACGCAATGATCGAGAACTATGGGGAGGCATGCCAGAAGCGGCAGTAGATGATTACAGCACCTTTTTAGATGAGGTGAAGGTAATGTATCCTGGATGGGATGGTAAAAGACGCTACGCGCTCGCGGACTTGCG